ACACACACACACACACACACACACACACACACACACACACACGCACTCAAAATAAGTGAATAAAAAAATAAAATGTGCATGACAGTCATGCAGAGCCCCAAACCTACTTCCACCCCATGGACTGAGGCTCCTGTCCCTCACCAGCTAGAAGAGTTCCTACCCCCACATCCAGAATGCCGAGGGCAGAGTTGGGGGCCTCCAGCTAGCCGGAGCTCCCCAGGGGCAGGTTAGGGGCTCTCACTGCTGCCGGATGAGCTGAGCCTCCAGTCAGTCCCCATGACTCAGCTCACCATGGAAGGACTTGCCTGGGAGCTGGCCGCAGACATGCCTGGGCTGGCCTTCAGAGAGTCCCACTTGGGGGTCTCCCAGGTGGGGGTGACACCTAGTTGCAGGGAAAACTGGATGTGTTCAGGGCTGCCTCCTCTCAGACTACGAGGAGTGTCAGAGTGTGGCGTCTGCTCACAATGGGGGAGGGGCCGTGCTGGTCCCTGGGCGAAGCTGCTGTTACTACTTAACAGTACTCAGTGCCCTTGTGGTCCGACCAGGCACCGGGACAGATAAGGGCAGGTCAGTCTCCTGGGACCCCAGTGACAGGCTGATAACAGGCCTGAGGGTCTGGAGAAGGGGAGGGGGCTTGCTGACCTGTTTCACTCACAAAGCTCAGTCAAATGAGGGTAGCTTTTCCATTTCTCCTCGTCCCCCCAGTGCCCCCCGGCATCCGAGAGGATGGACAGAAGACCAATGTGTCAGGCCTGGCTGGGCAGTCTCTGACACTAGAGTGTGATGCAAATGGGTTCCCAGCCCCCAAGGTTACATGGCTCAAGGACGGGCAGCTGGTGAGACTGGGATGGGGGTGGGGCTCCTGTGTGCCGAAGTGGCATAAGGCTGTGACAGGTGTCTTTGGGAATGCCCAGGTTTGGGGGAGGTAGAGGGACTTTGGTCCTGCAAGGAATTCCCAGGGGCCTCTCGGAGTTGTGAGCTCTGGATTCTGATGGCCACCCAGCCCCGTGAACCCCAGTTTTCCCACTGTTCATGGTTTCCACTCCTCTGGACCCTTGTGCTTAGATCCCAGAGGCAGGCAGCCACCACCTCCTGCATGGGACCCGGTCCCTCCACTTCCCCAGGATCCGGGAAGGTGATTCAGGCCTCTACTCCTGCCGGGCGGAGAACCAGGCCGGGAGCACCCAGAAAGACTTCAGTCTCACTGTGCTCAGTGAGTGAGGGCTGGGTTCCAGGCTCCCAAGCATGCATCTGCAGAGGGTGAGGGGCATAGAGGGGCCACCACAGACCTGGTCTCTGGGTCTCATTACTGTGACAAAATACCGGATAAAAGCAACTTTTATTAGGTTTATTAGGGTTCACAGTTTGAGGGTGTGGTCCATCCATCATGGTGGGGAAGGTGTGGTGGCCGGAGTGTGGAGCTGCTGGTCACGCTGCATCCACAGCCAGGAAGCAGAGAGAGATAGACGCTTGTGCTCACGTCACTTTCTCTTTTTTCTGCAGTCCAGAAAGCACGCCCGTATTTAGGGTGCGCCTTCCCTCCTTGATTAACCTAATCTAGAAACCCCCTCACAGACGTACCCAAAGATTTGTTTCCATGGTAATTCTAAATCTCATCAAGTTGACAGTTAGGATCAGCCTTCACACAGGTGCTATACAAGGGCACCTTAGGCTACTGTGACACCGCCCCCCAGGCAAGGGCTCATCTAGTGAGGTTTGGGGAGTTTTTTGGGTGGGCAGGGTGTACTGGCCAGGGGACCTGCATGGACAAAGGTCCTGTGGTCAGGAAGTCCTGTGGAGTCTCAGTGAACCTTCCTCCCTTACTTCCCTCCCCCTTCCCCAGTCCCTCCTTCCTTGCTGGGAGTTGGGGGAGCCCAGGAGGTGCTGGGCCTGGCTGGTGCAGATGTGGAGTTGGAGTGTCGGACCTCAGGGGTCCCCATGCCCCAAGTGGAGTGGACCAAGGATGGGCAGTGAGTGACACCGACTGTCTCCCCCCAGTGGATTGTGTGGGACTGGCAGCTCAGGGGAGGTTGGTCAGCACGGGCACCTCCTGCCCAGCAGACTCCCAGTAGACCCCATTCTTTCCCTGGCATGTCCTGGCTGTCACCGTTATCCTGTTTGTTTCTCTAAACTCTGGAAGTCCGAGGCCCATTCGAAAGGCACATAACATACAACTAATCATTTAAAGGCATTTAGTGTGTTCACGGCACTTTGCAGCCATGGCCACCAGAACATTCTGTGATTCCGAATTCCACACCCATCATGCAGTCCCTCCCGGCTACACCTTCCTCTTGGCCCCAGCAGTCTCCAGGCTGCTTTCTGTCTACACACTTACCTGTTCTGGGTTGTTCACATACATGGAGTCAGCACAATGATTTGGCGATACCTTCCTTTGCAGCAAGCATCAGAAACTCATTCCTTTTTAGGACGGAATAATAATCCACAGATGGGGAGGCCTACATGTTATTTATCCATTGATAATGATTACGAAGTGACTATGAATGGCCTTCCTTGTAGTAAGCTGAGGTTCCCCTGGGCAGCCTGCCCTGCCCACACCCTGGCCTGATTGATGACTTCCCCCAACACCTCTCCAGGCCCATTCTCCCAGGAGACCCTCACACCCTGCTCCAGGAGGATGGCCAGGTTCTCAGAATCATCAGCAGTCACCTGGGTGATGAAGGGCAGTACCAGTGTGTGGCCTTTAGCCCAGCCGGCCAGCAGGCCAAGGACTTCCGGCTCAGTGTCCACTGTGAGTCCAGCCATTCTTGGCTCTGGCTGCTCCTGAAATCCCTTTCCCAGATTCCTGCCACTGCCTGGGAGCTGGGAAAAGAAGGCTAGTAATTGGGCCCTTTGGGGCAATGGTAGGAGCTAAGAGCAAGTGGCCCCACATTTCCCAAATTGCCACCCACACAGTTCTGATGTACGTGGAATGTGATTCCCTTGACTGTTTCTTTACATCAGTCCCTCTGTTTATATTGAAACTCTTAGAAAACAATTTAACATTTCATCTGTGAGGAGCAGTGCCACCTGCCTTAATGGGAAGGAGGGATAAAAACAACAGAAAAGCTACACCCAGGGGCTGGGGCTTGGCTCAGGGGGCGGGCGATCACCAGGTACCAAAGAACAGCAACAGCAAACATTCCCAAAGAGGTGCAGCCAGTCTTCCTGGGTGGCCAGGCCCTGGCACTCAGCCTGTAGCCATGCTCCCTGCTAAACATGGAAATGGGCTGGACATGGCTCAGCAGTTAAGGGCCATGCAGAGGACCCAGGTTGGTTCCCAGCACCCACATGGTGGTTAACAACTGTCTATAACTCCAGGTCTAGGGGATCTGACGCCCTGTTCTGGCCTCTCCAGGCATCACACACATGGGTACATTTATATACATGCAGACAAAACACTCATATACATAAAAATAAATAAAAATAAAAATTTTAAATGGGAGTCAAGGTGTTGAGGAGATAGCTCAGTCAGTAATGTGGTTGCCATACAGTCACAAGAATCTGAGTTTGAATCCCCAGCATCCATGTCAAAAACCAGGCATGGTGGCTCACACCTGTAATCCCAGTGCTGTGGAGGCTGAGACAGGCAGATCCCTAGGACTCCCTGATAGCCAGTTTAGCCAAACACTGGTGAGCTACAGGTTCGGCGTCATAGAAGAAGACACCTGATGATGACCTCCGACCTACACGTGCCTCTACACTAGCATGCACATATGCACACACATATGCAAATGTACATACACATACATCACACAACACACGTAAATAAGTAAATTTAAACACTAGAGTAGGAAGGGCTGGACAAGTTAGTGGCACAGTGGCCCCAGTCGGAGCCTTTTGTCTCCGCTGTGAAGGGGGGGCAGAAAGTTGGAGGGCGTGGCTGTTCGTTCTCGGAGGCAGGGCAATGTCACATTGTACCCCCATGCGTCAGTCATCATCCTAGGTACCATTTGTGGGTGCCCTGCCCTGGGGTAAGCCCTGATTCAGTCCCTCCACAGATGGGGACCCAGAGGCCCAGAGAGGGAACAGGAGCTACCCCGGGTCATACAGTGAGTTAGAGGCAGTGTGGACCCCACAACCCAAGCCTGTGGCTTGCCCCACCTGTACCTCCCCAGCCCTTGCCTGTGGTGACTGGGCTTGCTTCCCACACAGGCATGTCCCCAAGCTGGCCTCTTCTGTCTGTCCTCCTGCCCTCCCCCCATTTCTCATGCCTTGCTGGTCCCCACAGTAGAAGTCCCAGATGTGTGCTTGTAGCCCAAGAGCACGTGCATGCCGCACTCAGGAAAGAATGCCAGAGGGTCGCCAGCCTGTGACCTCCCCCTCCCCCCCGCTCTGTCCCCAGCGCTCCCCACCATCTGGGGCTCTAACGAGACAGGCGAGGTGGCTGTCCTGGAGGGCCACATGGTGCAGCTCCTGTGTGAAGCCCGAGGAGCACCAGCCCCTGACATCACCTGGTACAAAGATGGGGTCCAGCTGGCCCCCAGCATGGAGGTGGTCTACAGCAGGGGTGGCCGGCAGCTACAGCTGAAGAGGACCCAGCGCTCTGATGCTGGCCTCTACACCTGCCGGGCCAGCAACTCTGCAGGGGTCACCGAGAAAGCCACAAGGCTGGAGGTTTATGGTGAGTGGCTGGGGTGGCAGCTGTGGGGCAGGACGTGCCTTGGGGCCCTAACGAGCTTCAAAATACCTTCAGTCCCAGTTCATAGGGTTTCTCTGGTGGTGGCTCTGTCAGTTCTACAACTCAGCACCTGAGGGGCACGCCCACTCTGCTGCTCCCCCTCCCCCCAGCTTGGGGCCCTAACGAGCTTCAAAATACCTTCAGTCCCAGTTCATAGGGTTCCTCTGTCAGGTGGCTCTGTCAGTTCTACAACTCAGCGCCTGAGGGGCACGCCCACTCTGCTGCTCCCCCTCCCCCCGGATTGGTTACAGTGAACTCTGGTCACACCTCAAATCCTGTCCCCCTTGGGCACCACAGACCAAGTCAGGAGTCCCCAGAGTCATACCATCTTGACTCAGGTCTGACAGCCATCTACTGCCTTGCTCCAGGAATAAGGAGACTTCCAGGGACTGTGGGCTGGTCCTGGATCCTGGGGACCCAGTGCTTTGTTCAGTATTAAAATGTTCCAGATGGCAGTGGGGACAGAGGAGACACAGGTGGTGCCGGGGTTGGGGGAAGGCTCTCAGGTGCTGAGGAGTGGGACTCTTCCAGCCAGAGTCTGAGGGAGATTTGCTGAAAAAGATGGTACCTGGGCAGGGCCAGGTAATAGGAAGAGGTTGGGGATCCCAGGTGAGACTGCCGGTCCCTGAGCAGCCCCTGACTCTTCCCTAGTCCCACCCACCATCGAGGGTGCTGATGGAGGACCGTACATGGTACAAGCTGTGGCCGGAAGGCCTGTGGCACTGGAGTGTGAGGCCAGAGGTCACCCACCCCCTACCCTCTCCTGGCAGCACGAAGGGCTGCCAGTGGTGGACAGCAACAGGACATGGCTGGAGGCAGGTGGCGCCCTGTGGCTGGAGAGCCCAGGAGAGGCGTCTGGAGGCCTGTACAGCTGCGTGGCCATCAGTCCCGCAGGCGAGGCTGTGTTGCAGTACTCCGTGGAGGTGCAGGGTGAGTTGGCTGTGGTGGGCCTCCTCCCACACACACTCCATGCTTGTCCCTGGCAGCCCTGGAGATGAAGGCTGGTGGGGAAGCCACAGGTGCCCTTGTTCTGTAGGCTAGGGATAAAGAGTTAGAGCTGGACCTGGGATACAGAGTGGGAGGGGCGAGGTTGAGTTCTGGGGTCCTGATCCTACCCATGGCTCTGGGCCAGCTCACCTGGGAAGGATGCCACTCTGCCCACTGCCCACAGAAAGGGCGCTTTCCAGGGGACACTTGAGGCCCAAAGCTGGGAGTGGGTTCAAGTCTTACCCCACTGCCTTACCACCTAGCTTCCCAGCCTGGCCTCTGTGTGGCCCGTGTGATGAGATAGCAGGTGATGAGGCCAGCAGGACTCCAGGTCCTTAGTCCAGCAGGGGCAGACATAAAATAAATGGGCTTGAATCTCTGGGGAGACCACAGAGGCTCCTCTTCCAGCCTTGAGTGGCCCAGGGAGGCCTCTTGGGGAGCATTTATGGGGACACTAGAAGACTGAGGTGAGACTGGGGTCCTGGAAGCATCTAGGGCCAGGCTGACCTGTAGTCACAACAGCATGTCCTGCCCACAGTGCCCCCGCAGCTGCTGGTGGCTGAAGGCATGGGCCAAGTGACCGCCATCACAGGACAGACCCTGGACCTTCCTTGCCAGGCATCGGGTTCCCCGATGCCCACCATCGAGTGCGTACAGGGCACAGAGGCCAGGGCAGGGACAGGCAGAGCATGTGTTGGGGTGAGGGGCAAGCTTGCTCCTGTTCCCAGGAATGTGAAAGTGGCCATGGAGTCAGGGAGGAGGGGAGTAGGGAGGAGGGGCCTCAAGGCCTCCTGCTTTGTCCCGCCCTGGCCTGCGGGTGCCCCTGACCCCCTTCCCACCCGCCTCAGGTGGTTGCAGAATGGCCGCCCAGCTGAGGAACTGGCTGGGGTGCAACTGGCCTCACAGGGAACCATACTACACATCAGCCGCGTGGAGCTGGGCCACGCCGGCCTCTTTGCCTGCCAGGCCACCAATGACGCGGGGACAGCTGGGGCCGAGGTGGAGGTCTCTGTGCATGGTGAGTGGGCAACTGGAGCTCTGGGGTGGTGGGCGACCAGAATACTGGGGCCCGTGGAGCCAGAGGCCATGGCAGGCCTGGGAATGATATGGGGCCCGTCTCTGGATGGCACGCCTGGATTAGACCTGCTCCCCAAAGACACATGGGTGGATGAGGCTTATCTTGCCCTTCTTATCACACTTGTCAGGTCATCTGTCCTGTCCAAACCTCTGGGGACTTCTGAGCCTCCCGCCTTCACCTGTTCTCTTCCTCCTCAACATGTCTAGCTTTATTCAATCTCTAACTACATCAGCGCTCACTCATCTGAGTCTGCCTAGTCCCCTCCTTGCCTTTCAGTTCTGCCCTGAGACACCTTTTCCTCCAGGAAGCCTTCCTTGATTCCACAATACATATCGTCTTCACTGCTCAGCCTCTCACGGCCACTGCCCACCACACACTACTCTGTGATATCTGTGTGCCTGTCCATCTCTACTCCAGCTCTGTGATCTCTAAGAGGGCAGCATGGTGGACTCCTTTCTCTTCTGTGTCTAGGAACCTACAGCAGTTCTGGGCACAGAATAGATACTTACACACTTATGGAGACATATGGACAGGTGGTTGGGTGTATGCGAATGGATGGAATGGATAACTGGATGGATGGTTGATTGGATGTATGGATAAGCAGGTAGGTGGGTAAGAAGATGGATGGATGGATGGATGGATGGGTGGGTGGGTGGATGGGTAAGAAGGTGGATAGATCAATGGGTGAGCAGACAAACAGATGGGCAGGTAGGTGAATGGCTAAATGGACAGGAAGATGAATTGATGAATGGATGGATGGATGGGTATGTGGATGAGTAGCTGAATGGATAGGTAGATAGGTGTATGAGTGGGTGGATGAGTGAGTGGATAGATAGGTGGACAGGTAGATGGATGGATGGATGAATGGAGAGGTGGATGACTAGTAGGTGGATAGATGTGTAGGTGAGTAATGGGGGATTAATAGGTAGATGGATGGATAGGTAGATAGATGAATGAATGGGTAGATAGGTAGATGGATGAGTGAATGGAATGGATGGGTGAATGACTGGTTAGATTGGTGAGTGGGTGGGTGAATGGGTAGATGTATTGATGAATGGATGGGTGGATGGATGGATGAGTAGATGGGAAGATGGATGGATGACTGGTTGGATTGATGAGTGGGTGGGTGAATGTGTAGATGGATGGATAGGTAGATGGATGAGTGGGTGTATTGATGAATGGATGGGTGGATGGATGAGTGGGTTGGTAGATGGATAAGTGGGTATGATGGATGGATAAGTGGATGGGGATGGATTAATAAATGGGTGAATGGATGAGTTGGATGAGGATGGATGGAAGAACTTAAAAAAAAAAAAAGAGCCGTTCTGTTGGCTCTCAGTCTGGAGTTCCTTCCCTTATCCAGGTGGGGGTGCAGGCATTCTAGAACCCAGTCCTGTGGTCAGGCCTGCAAAGCCACCACTTCACTCCTAAACATTTGCCCACTGTATCCCTCCCGAATGACCTGAGCCCCCTTCATCTCTCCCACCCAGAACTCCCATCAGTGCACATCATTGGGGGTGAGAACCTGACAGCTCCTTTCCTGCAGCCTGTGAACCTCCAGTGTGTAGGTACCGGAGTGCCTACCCCAAGCCTCCGCTGGTGGAAGGATGGTGTGGCCCTGGCAACCTCCGGGGGGAGCCTGCAGGTACAGTTAGGGACCCAGGACTGGATGGCAGCTGGCCATGCTCTAGGGGTCCTGGAGACCATAGGAGAGCAACCAGGGGTACCCTCTCATCATGGGGATACCGAATGGCCCCTTAGATGCTGGACCTGGGGAGTGGAGGGGACCCTTAGCCTGGTCCTGGCTGTGGAAGCTTAGCCATCAGAGGGAAAAGACAGGGGAGGAGCTGAAGAACATACCGAGAACAGAAGGCCTGGGGTTCGTTCCTGCCCTCTGCCGTCTCTGACTGTGCCCCTGTCTGGGCTCTGTGGCTTCCCCACGTATGCCCCCTTCCCTGCCCCCCAGATTGAGAAGGCAGACCTGAGGGATGAAGGTATCTACACCTGTGTCGCCACTAACCTGGCAGGAGAGAGCAACAGGGACGTGGCACTGAAGGTTCTGGGTGAGGACAGCTGTTCCATTGGTGTCCAAGGTCTGGGGTGGCAGGTGACCCCTCAAGGGTCCTTGGGCTGAGGACTGGAAAATAGTTTGAGGATTACAGTGGTGAGCTTAATCTTGCAAAATGTGAACGGCGCTAAGACAAAGCATTAACATCAACTCTATGGCCCCTCGCTATGGGTGTCAGTGGCCACCTTACCCATGCCCGTAGCTACCTTGCTGACCGGATTCATGTTCGGGGTTTATCTGTGTCTATACTTGGGGTTCCAGCTCTTGCTGTGCTGGCTTCAGCTCCTCCTCCCCAGGGCCTGGAGGTTGGGTGGTCACACCTCCGTGAAGAGCTTAGGGTCTGCTCCACTCTTGGGCTGCTCCAGGAACAGGCTCCCTGGTCTGAGCATGTGAGCCTTGTTGTCAGGGCCCTTTAGGGGAACTGGGAGAGGCATCAGAGTGGCTGGGATTGGAACTGCTCAGAACCCACACCCACCAACTGGGAGTTGTCTGTCCTTGTCTTTCCCCTAGTGCCCCCCAACATCGAGCCAGGCCCAGTCAACAAGGCGGTGTTGGAGAACGCCTCGGTGACCTTGGAGTGTCTAGCTTCAGGTGTACCCCCTCCTGGTAAGCACCCTACCCTAGGCCAGAATGCCCCTCTAGCCCATCCCAATCTCCCATGGAAGTCCACAGGTGTCCTAGGGCCCTGCTAGGGCCGAGCTTTGTATGCACATCTGAAATGAACCTTTAAGGCTTCTGTCCAGAGGTTGTAGCATCCCAGGGCTGGCCCAGGCTGGGGTTGAGGAACAGGACCCCTGTTCTCTATTTGTTGGGGTCTCTTCTCTAGACCAACATGGAGGGAAAGGGCTGGGAGCTTGGGTGAAGTGTGGGCATGCCAGCATCCAGGCTACGGTGGGGCTTACCCAGGGCCTGGCCTGGGATGAGACTCATCTCCTGTGCACTCATAAGCCCAGGACAGCTGCTTGCCTGGGATGGGGGAGCCTCGAGAGTACTTATGCCTCCTGTGGATTACCTGGGTGGGCCCTGAAGGGAGGAAAGGAAGTCCAAGGTACAGGCTGTCCATCTTGGCCTGTGAGGCTGCAGTTCAGGGCACCTGCCTTCTCGCTAAAGCTCTCCAGCAGAGGGGCTAAACGGGGCTTGACTCTCCCTTAGTCTGGCTCACCAGCCGCCCCTTGGGGCTTCCTTTCAGCTACCTGGTCCTGGTGCTGCTCTGTTTTGTCCCTTCTTACCTTCCTAAGAACACTGGTCTCTCTAGCATCTGAAAAGCTGTACAGTCACTCTGGAAGCTTCTCTGGATGTCCCCCTACACCAACAGGAAAGGACTGGTCGGATGTTTTGCATGTGTCTTTCTCTCCCTCTCCCAGATGTCTCCTGGTTCAAGGGCCGCCAGCCTATCTCTACCCAGATAGGGACTTCAGTGTCAGCTGATGGGAGAGTTCTCCGCATAGAGCGAGCCCAGCTTTCCCATGCAGGAAGCTACCGTTGTGTGGCGGCCAATGTGGCAGGCAGCACGGATTTGCAGTATGGCCTGCGGGTCAATGGTGAGCTGCTGGGGCTTTTTCCACAATGCTGTCTTTCCTTCCATTTGTCTAGCCTTCTGTCCCCTTAGTCACTTGTCCATCCACCCATCTGTCCGTCAGTCCACCTGCCCATCCACCATTTACATGCCTAGCCTTCCATTCACCAACCATCTACCATACACCCACCTGTGTATTCATCCATGTGCCCATACCTCCACCCATCTTCTCACCTGCCATATGCCCATCCATCCATTCATCTACCCACCCACCATCCACCCATCTATCATTTCACCCATCCACCATTCCACTGTCCATTCACCTATCTATCAACCATCTATCCTTTAACCATTCATCCACCCATCCTCCCATCTAGCCACCATCCACCTACCCATCCACTTATCCATGTTCAACTGTGAGACGATCATATGCACCGGGGGGGGGGCACAGAAAGGAGGGAGGACCCTCCCTGCCTCCTCTTTCTGTGAAGGAACACCAGCAAGTTCAATAGTGTGAGGGTCTCATGCAGGAAGTCACAATTGCTCTGGAGAAGTTGGTAACGATCACATGTCCAGAGGACAGTGTTCCCCAGCACTGGGGACACCTGGAAACACATACACTAAGAAGAGGCCTAGGGTGGTATTACTGGTCCCCTGGAGCTGGACCTCTTGGGCCCCAGGGCCGTGGGAAAGGGGGGTTTTTACCTGTAAAGTCTCCTTTTATAGTGTGATCTCCTGGCCATCTCCCAGGATGGCAGTGTTGCACTTGAGACCTGAGTGAGGAGGTCCCTCAGCTTCCTACCACTTGATTATGATAAATCACTTCTGCTGACCCAAGGTCTCAGTCCAAGTGTTATTTCTGCCTCATCCTAACTGGTTGGCTGTGGGCAAGTGACTTCCCCTCTTCAAGCTTCAGTTTCTCACTGGTTGAAACCTCTGGTGGTGCTGACCCAGTGACATGAGTCCCTGACACCTGTGGTGTGGCTGCCTGGGTCAGGATGCTACTACCCCCATGCTTTTGTTTGTGATCTGTGTTCCTGGGGGAGCACAGCCCATGTCACCTGTAGTAGGGCTCAGCTGTGTCCACCTTGCCCTGCAGTGCCACCCCGAATCACTCTGCCACCCAGCCTACCAGGCCCAGTGCTACTTGGCGCACCCTTCCGACTGACCTGTAATGCCACCGGTGCCCCCAGCCCCACACTGATATGGCTGAAGGATGGAAATCCCGTGTCCCCTACAGGGACCCCTGGTCTCCAGGTCAGTAGGATTGGGTGGTCCCTGAGCACTTTCCTGGTGCCTCCCACAGGGACTGGTAACAGGTCAGGCTCTGGGAGCCTAGGATGAGATAGAAGGAGAGGCTCACCATCATTAGGCATGACACGAGCCACCAGTGCCAGGCAAATATGTAACTTGAAGGGTTCTTTTTCCCACACTTAAATGAGTAAAAAAGCTGGTTGTGTTGGTGCATGCCAAAACCCCAGAAGGCTGAGGGAGGAGGGTCCCCATGACTTACTTCTACTTCAAGGCCAGCCTGGGTACACAGTGAGACCTACCTCAAACCCCAGCCCCTAAAAAATATAATGAAAGGGGCTCGGGATGTAGCTCAGTTGATAGAGTGCTTACCTAGTATACATGAAACCCTAGGTTCCATCCCCGGCACTACATAAATTAGATGAGCTGGCACACGCCCACAGTCACGTCATCACAGTACCAGGGACGTAGAAGCAGGAGGATCAGGTGTTCAAGACTATTCTCAGCTACATTGGAAGCCCAGGGTCAACCTGGACTACATGAGACCCTCATACACATACACACACACACACACACACACACACACACACACACACACGCACAAAAACCCCAACGACAACAAAAATAAAAACAACCAATTTTAATGTTACCAAATCCAATATATCCAAACAGGTTCATTTTGTCATAGGATCAAAATAGAAAGTCACTAAGGAGAGATTCCATACCCCCTATTCACACGTGTTTTACATCTGTAGCCCATCCCAGTTCCAAGTGGCCTCTGGAGAAGGTCTCACTGGTCTCACTGACAGGTGGCCCTAGATGACTCTTCTGGGTAGTCAGAACTGCCCCCGACAGGCAGAGGTCCTGGGGTTGAGTGCAGCTGGAGGCTCCCTGCCTTTGGGGGCCAGGGAGAGTTCCCAGGGGCCTGGAACAGGGTCTAGGTGTGTGTGGTACCAGGGCTGGCCTGTCAAGGTGGATGCCATCCCTGGTGGTAGAAACCACATTTGTCTGGTATGGGCTTCCTTCTGGGGACACAGGTCTTCCCAGGAGGCCGGGTCCTCACTGTGGCCAGTGCCCGGGCCTCTGATGCAGGCAGCTACTCTTGTGTGGCGGTGAGTGCTGTGGGTGAGGATCGCCGGAACATCACCCTGCAAGTTCACAGTGAGTTGAGCTGGGAGGGTCATGTGGCAAAGAACAGCCGTTCTCCAAGAAGGTGGGGTGGAGGCATCCCCAGTCACATCCCAAGGGAGGCTGAAGGGTGGGAATCCCATGTCCCCAGGGGGGCGGGCATATGGAAGAAACGGGAGTTGCTACCTGACTGTGTCATCATCAGACACTGGGAACTGTCTTTGGGCGTGAGCGTCCCCCTGGGTGGTCAGGTGGCAGGTGGTGACTGTGCATGGCCAGGACTCTATGATCAGGGCAAACAGGAAGGAACATGAAGCACAGGGGTGGGAGCAGCAGGCAGAGCCAGAGGGAAACCCAGTGTCCTCACAGCTCCCAAATGGGGCCGACGGGCCTTCCAGAAGGGGCGGAGGTTAGAAATCCTGGCTTTTTATTATTTTTATTTTATGTGGATAAGTGTTTTGCCTGCATGAAGGTAGGTGTACCCAGGTTGTGCAGTGCCTGTGGAGGTCAGAAGAAGGCATCAGATTCCTCTGGAACAGGAGTTACAGACAACTGTTAGCCACCATGTGGGTGCTGGGACTCAAACCAAGATCCTCTGCAAAGGCAGCCAGTGCTCTTAACTGCTGAGCTGTCTCTCCAGCCCCCGAGCATTGGGGTTTAAATCCAGCTTCGGTGAGCTGGTCATGGTGCTCCTTCTTCGAGCCACTGTTTCCTCCCCTGTAGATTGAAGGGGGATGGAGCAAACTCCCACTTTGAACTTTGCCTGAGGATTCACTGAACCCTGACCATGATTGTTAGTGGTTTTAAATGTCCTTGCGGGGGGAGGGGGGTATGGGGCTCTAGACCAGGTGCGAGGTGAAAACAGCAGGACGTGGAGAGCCCTGGAGGGCAAGGGAGGGAGCAGGAGGGTCCGGCTTTCTATATTAGAGGCCAATGCACAGGTGACAGGTGTCGTGGACTTGACACTTGACCCTTGTTATTGGACTCAGTGTCACACAGGCTCAGTGAACTGGGACTTTCATTAACCCCATTTTCTCAATGAGGGAACTGACACCCAGGTTGGCTGGGTACCAGGGCCTCCTGTGGTTAGTGAGTGATAGATTGCTAGACCTCAACCCCGGAGGTCTGGCTCGGGATCCTGCATTCTTTTTTTAATTGCATTTATTTATTCATGCATGTGTGTGTGTGTGTGTGTGTGTGTGTGTGTGTGTGTGTGTGTGTGTGTGTGTGTGTGTGCACTCAGGCACATGCATGCATGCATGTGTGAAACTCAGAGGACAACTTGAGAGATTCGGTCCTCTCCTTCTACCATGTGGGTCCTGGTGATTGAACTCAGGTCATCAGGCTTGGTGGCAGGTGCCTTGTACCCACTCAGCTGTCTTGCCGGCCTGTGCTCTCTTCCTTCCTTCATTTTCTTTCACAGGATGAGATTAGACCTATGATGTCACACATGCCACCACTGAACTACACCTCAGCCCTCTTTTTACCCTTTATTTTGAGACAGGGTGTTACTAAGGCGCCAGGGTTGGCCTTTAAACTCACTTTGTAGCCCAGGTTGGCCTTGAAGTTGTGATCCTCTTACTTCAACTTCTGAATAGCTGGGATTAGCAGCCTGGACCATCAAACCTGACTGGGGCCCTGTGTTTTTAAACAGCTGAGTACTGATTGTCACTGATGGTCACTTTTTACTTCAGGGAAAAAGGGGTCAAGTGTGGTGGTGCTCATCTTTAGTCCCCTGCACTTGGGAGGCAGAGACAGGAGAATCTCTGTGAGATTGAGGTCAGCCTGGTCTACATACTGAGTTCCAGGCCAGCTGGGGTTATGACACTGTCTCAAAAAAAAAAAAATGTAATAAAAGCCAGGCATGGTGGCACATGCCTTTAATTCCAGTACTTGGGAGGCAGAAGGAGGTGATCTCTGTGAGTTTGAGGCCAGCCAGGGCTATATTAGCGGGGTCTATCTCAAATTTTATCTCAAAAATAAATTTTTTAATAAATATATTATTGAATTTAAAATATTCATTTATTTTGGTTTTCGAGACAGGGTCTTAATATAGCCCAGGCCCCAGGCTGGCTCAGAACCTACTGTCTTCCAGGCTAGCCTCAAATTTGCAACAACCCTCTTGCCTCGGCCTTCCAGGTACTGGGATCGCAGGCATGCAGCACTAAACCAGACTATTACTGAGCATTTTTAAATGTGGAGAGTGTGTGTGTTTTCTTTCTTCTGCAGAACCATATATAACTGTAAGAAGTGGTATGGGGAGGCCCAGAGTTAACCCCTGTCCCCCGTCCCCTGTCCCCCAGTGTGGCATTTTCAGATCCAGGATGGTACCCCAGGCTGAAACTGTTGCAGCCCACCCACCTTGCTAGCCCAGGCCGCCTTTTGCAGCAGGACAGAGGTGGTGGGACAAGGCTGGAGCTGGGGATTCATCCTAATATGACTCTCAGTCCTGGGGTTTGCCCCGGGGTATTGGAATTGACCAGTCCGACTCGGCTGTGTCCTGTCCTGCCCATCTCGTACTTGAGGGAATCCATTCTTGTCTGCGCCCGCAGTGCCCCCCAGCATCCTTGGAGAAGAGCTGAACGTGTCTGTCGTGGTCAATGAGTCAGTGACACTGGAGTGCCAGAGCCACGCTGTACCACCCCCTGTGCTGAGCTGGCGGAAGGATGGGAGGCCCCTGGAGCCTCACCCTGGCATTCACCTCTCTGCCGACAAGGCCTTGCTGGAGGTGTGTAGCTGGGGAAAATGCCTGAGCAGGGCAGGGCAGGGCTTACGGGTGTCCCTGCCCACTGTGAGCATCGTTCAGTTCAGGGGACAGAGGACAAAGCCCCAGGACTGATCCCTTAGCTTTTCTCAGGACCCCAGTGTATGCCAGTGCTCCTCCTCCTCCAGCCCCTCTATACCTTGTGATATGACCATTCCCAACTCTGAGCACTGGCCTTTGATTTCCCTTCCTTTCCCTTTGTTCTTCAAAGCCACAGTGAAGTCTCATCACCCCTGATCAAGGTCTGAGCCCCTGGTGGCAGGTCCTCTCCCCTCCCAAGCCTCATTCTCCTTCTTCTTTTCTGGTTGGGCCTGTTGGGCTTTCTGAAGACTGGGAACAGGTGAAGGGCCAGTGTGGGGCCATCCTGGCCGTGTGTCCAGCCCCTTAGCAGGTTTGGGCTGTGGGTATGACATGATGAAGGTTGGGGCTGCCACGGAGGGGCCCATGTCAGCCCTACCTCAGGCTCTGGCTTCTAGAAACCTCTTGGTGCTCCCAGGCAGGGAGCTGCCATCGCAGCTCTGTTCCAGCAAGCAGATCATGTGACACGTCTGAGGCGACCAGGTCTATTTAGGGATGACACCATCTCTGCTTCCCCCACGGACCAGCTGTCTTTGCTCCTGGCCAGGTGGACCGAGCAGAGGTATGGGATGCCGGACGCTACACCTGTGAGGCCTTGAACCAGGCAGGCCGCTCTGAGAAGCACTTCAACCTGAATGTCTGGGGTAAGGGTCTCTGGGGGCCCTCCCCCCAGGGCTGGCTTTTGGGTCTGAGGAAGAGGGCCACCTAACTGGGCCCCAGGATACAGCCCTTCCCAGTCCTCCCTCCCACCCCAGCCCCCTCAGCTCCCCTCTGCTCTGACCCAGCCCCTCCAGAGTTCCTGTCAAAGGAGCCCTACACCCTGACTGTGAACGAGGGGCAGACGGCCAGACTGTCCTGCGACTGCCAGGGTATCCCCTTCCCCAAGATCTCATGGAGGAAAGAAGGTAGGATGGCTGCCTTCTCCCAGCACCCCCTCACTGGTGATACCCCAGCATCTTTCTGAGGGGGGGGATTCAGCCCTGGTTACAGCCCCCCTGCCCTGCCCCACCTGCAGGGCCCCTCCTAGCCTGTGACAGCAGGCTGATCTTTAGGCCCCACATCTCTGTCACTTCTGCCAGGAAGGCCTTCCCAGAACCCAGCTGGACAGGGCCTCCCTGAGTGACCATCCATCCGCCCTGTTCTGCCCTCTACCGATCCATGAGCCCTGTGTGGCACCGTTTTGGCTACAATTCAAAGTCCAGGGCCTAGTGCAAAATACATACTCAATAATTAGTAGGGCTTCACTTCACCCACCTGTATGGGAGAGCAGGTTGGCCAGGCCCTCTCCTGGGACCTGGGAAGACAGAGGTGCACAAGACCCACCAAGTCCCACCCTCACCTGGGCAGTCAGAAGATAAACAGAAAATGAGGTGACCTGCACCTTAGGGAGTAAGCGGGCAAAAACAGACAGGGGAGATGTGTGCAGTTACGATTTGGAATTTGAAGTTAGGTAGTCAGGATTGTTGGACAGAGGTGAGGGATGTCTCTGAGGAAACCACAGGGGGAAGTATTCTGGGTAGAGGTCATAGTAGGTGCAAAGGCCCTGGGGCAGGAATGAATGAAGCTTGCTTGCAGTACAGTAGAAAGGCCAGGGATCTGCAACAAAGTCAGCAGGATGGGAGTAGAGGGGTGGGGGGAGGGGAGGCAAAGTAAGCAATGGTTCCCAGAGCAATGGAGACTCAACTGGAGGGTGTTTTGAAGGTCTTGGCTTTTCCTCCAGTGAGACAGTGAGATAGCCAGGCCTATTCTGGGAAGAAATCCACCTTGGAGAGTGTGGAGGCTCAGAGAGGTGCCAGGACCCAGGGACGACTTCCCGTAGCAGGTGTCATCTATTTGGACACCTGGAGGATGGGCAGGAGTTGGGACTAGTTGGGGTGGGGGAGACCACTGCTCCCAATAAAAGGACCTCCCAATAAAAGGACCTCGGGTCCCTGCACATGCCCTGTGCCCTGGACCAAGGGCTTTTTCTCACTGCTCCAGGTCAGCCCCTGCCTGGGGAGGGGGACAACCCGGAGCAGGTGTTGGCAGTAGGGAGGCTGCTGTACATGGGACAGGTCCAGTCAGCCCACAAGGGGACATACACCTGTGAATGCAGCAACGTGGCCGGGACCAGTAGCCAGGACCAGCAGCTGGAGGTTCAGGGTGAGCCTTGCCAGGGCTGGGCGGGTGAGGGTGGTGGCTGGGTAGAGCCCACGGCCTAGTCCACATGAGGGCAGGAACAGCAAGACTGGGCGCTTGCCTGCCTGTCTATCCCCGACTCTCAGCGGCGCCCAATCTGAGCACAGGAGGGGACAGCAGGTCCCCGTGTGCCTCAGCAAAGGGACAAAGCACACTGGAAGCAGGTGGAAAAGGGAAAGACATGAACACACATGGAGCTCCTATAGTTAAGGGGTCCGCGCTGGTGAAACGAACTATCCTGGGCTGGGAGATGGCTCAGTGGTTGAAGCGCTTGCCACGTAAGTGTGAGGCCAAGGTTCAGATCCCCAGAGCCCATATAGGTGCCAGGGGGGCCCGGTGGCTGTGTGCAATTCCAGCCTTCGAAGGTGGAGATGGGATCCCCAGAACAAGCCAGCTAGTGAGAACCGGCTTCATCGGAGGCTCATTGAGGGAGCCTGCCTCAATGAGTAAGATGGAAAAGCAATGGTGGGTGATTCCCTGACATGGACCTCAGGCCTCCACATGCATGCATGCACACACACGTACTCACATACATGCAAACATGGACATGCATGTGCATGAAAACTGTAGAAAGAAAAATGAAATTAAATATCCTCGCCATGTAAAAACCATGCTAGTGGGGGTCTGGAGATGCTCAGAGGTTAAGAGTGCTGGCCACTCTTGCAGAGGACCTGGACTCGATTCCCAGCACTCACATGGCGGCTCACAACCATCCGTAACTCCAGTTCCAGGGGAATTTGATGCCCTCTTCTGACTTCCACAGGCACTGCACGACACAGGTGCACTTACACACAGGCAGGCAATACACTCATACACATAAAGTAAAAAGTAATAAAATATTTTTTAAAAACATGCTAATGGGGCTGAAGATGCAGGTGAGTGGGTAGAGTGCTTGCCTGGTGTGCAGAGTTTTGGTCCCCAACAGCATATAGCCCAGGCATGGTGGTACTCTCTTGTAATCCCAGCACTCAGAGGTGGAGGCAGGAGGATCAGGAGTTCAAAGTTATCCTCAGCTACACAGGGAGTTCAAGGGTGCCTGGATTATAAGAGATCCAGTCTCAAAAAAAAAAAAAAAAGTGCTAGGAAATGAAGCCTAGGCTAGCACTGGGCACTGCATTCCCTGTTTGAGAGGCTAAGTGAATACAAGTTCACATTCAAGGCCCACCTGGACAACTTGGAGAGACTCTGGCTTCTGTAAAACTGCACAGAGCAGGAATAGCCAAGCATTCAAGGAGCAGCCCACCTAGATCCCCAGGGTGCCTGCGAGGTGACCGTGGATACGGCTCTCACACTGCTGTAGAGGTAGGAAGACTCAGAGAGGTAAAGTGACTGGGCCCAGGTTACACAGCCTACAGTGCAAAAGGACGACGGGCCTGCATGGGGCTGTGGCCACTGAGCCCCTGTCCAGGGGCTCAGATATTTTCTTTTCTTTCAAATTTTATTTATTATTTTTATTTTATGCGTATTGTCTGCATGTAAGTAAGTGCACCCATGTCGTGCAATGCCACGGAGGTCAGAAGAGGCTGTCGGATCCCCTGGGACTGGAGTTATGGACAGTTGTTAGCTGCCATGTGGGTGCTGGGATTCGACCCCGGGTCTTCTGCACGAACAACCAGTGTTCTTAACCGCTGAGCCATCTCTCCAGCCCCATGGCCTCAGACATGTTCACTGAGTGCCTCCTCCCCACCCCAGTTCCCCCTCAGATCACTGGCCCTCAGGACTCCCCTACGACAGTCTCGGTGCTCCATGGTGGGGAGACTGCTCTGGAATGTAACGCTACAGGGAAGCCCCTGCCGGTGGTGACATGGGAGAAGGATGGCCAGCCTGTGGGGACCGAGCCTGGCCTGCGGCTTCAGGACCAGGGCCGGAGTCTACACGTGGAACAGGCACAGGCTAGCCACGCTGGTCACTACAGCTGCGTGGCCGAGAACGTGGCCGGGCGGGCCGAGAGGAGGTTCGCACTCTCTGTGCTGGGTGAGGACCAGTGGCCATGGGGAGGGTGAGGCGACGGGCTGGACTGGAGAGAGAAAGGCTGGGCAGTACTGGGCATAGTCCTCAGGGACTATGTTCCGGGGGTGGGCCATTTTGGTCCTCCTTCAGTTGGCTCTCTGATGAGGGTCACTACCGGGGACCATGGCCAACACGGCCTCAAAATGCCCATCTCTCTTTCCCTCCTTCCTTTACCCCCTCTCTCCTTTCTCCCTCCCTCCACCCCACGTTCTTTTCCCCCATTCTGTTCCCACAGTCCATATTCCACATGGCCTGTGTGGCATTCTTGGGGGATGCAGGTGTAGAGAGACTGGGGAGACCATACACGGTGTGGGAGGAATCAAGACACCGCCCCCTGTCCTGGGGGAAGTGGGTTTGGGACTTAAACTGTAAGACTGAGTAGGACCTGGGTAGTGGCTGGGGTGGCAGGAGGATCAGCGGGAGCATGGGAGCCACTCACCCATCACTACCTGGATCTATTTGAGGCGAGGCAGGATATGGTCCAGGGGAAGAAGCTCAGGAACGGCAAGCTGGGTAGGCGCAGGGAGGCCCCTCTCCTGAGGACTCACTTCCCTAGGCTTCTGAGCCTTCCGTGCCTAGTCATCCCACTGATAGAAGGGAACTGCCTTGTGATAGATCTTTCCAGAACGACAGGGTTGCCACTTCATTCAGAGCACAGAGTGGAGGATGGGGACGGGTACACTTTGCTAGTCACAGCACTCCTCTCAGCTCCTGCCCTCTTGGGCGCTGGACCGAGGCTCTCCGTATGTTTGACTGGGAAAGTCAGTTGGTAGAATGTCTGCTTAGCACTCTACCAGCTAAGTCCTGGTTCCACAGCCAGCACTGAATAAACCAGGCATTGTGGTGCATGCCTGCCATCCCAGCACTCAACAGGTGGAGGAAGGAGGATGAGGAGTTCAGGGTCATCCTTGGTTACATAGCAAGTTGGAGGCTAGCTTGGGCTACATAAGACACTGAAGAGCCAGGTGTGGTGGTAAACGCCTATAATCCCAGCACCCAGGAGGCAGACCAATCTCTGTGAGTTCTGAGGCCAGTCTGGTCTACACAGTGAGTTCCAGGCCAGGGAGACCCTGTCTCAAAAACAAACAAACAAACAGACACTTTCTAAAAAAAAAAAGAATCCTCTCCACCTTCCTCTGAAAGGGTGGGGAAACAGGCCCGAGGTGCCTGCCTGACCTCAAAGTCCGGCCTGTAGCCATCACTCACCTCCTTGTGGGCCTTGCAGCTTCGATGGAGCAGCTGGGACCCTCCCAGTCCTTGGCTCCCTGCAATGAGCCTGTAGGTCCTTCAGTGGGTAGAGAGGGGGGTCATGAAGAGTACACATGCCCTGTCTGAACCCTGAACATTGCTCCTCCTCTGGTCTAGTTCCCCCTGAACTCATCAGAGACTCAGATCCACTGACCAATGTCACCACTGCCTTGCATGGCTCCTTGACGCTGCTCTGTGAAACCACAGGGATCCCACCTCCCACAGTCCAGTGGTTCCGGGAAGGGCAGCCAATCAGCCCTGGGGAGGACACCTACCTTTTGGCAGGTAAGGTACCAGCCAGAGGTATGTTCTGAGAGTCAGCCTGTCAAATGGCCATGACCTCTGGCCCTGAGCTGCAGGGGTCAGTGGCCCATCATTTGTTCCCTGCAGCCTGTGGAAGATGGTAAACACATTTCCCACTTGGTAGGGTTGTATAGATACAGGTGCATTGTATAGATGGGAGCACAGAGACTACTTCTAAGTCCAGAACAAAGGGAACTGGCAATCAATTAGTAATGTCTGCCAAGAGTGTAGGAATGGAGGTGATGGTATGTGTATATTAGCTGTCCTCTCCAGGTGGGTCCTACAAGAGTCCTCTGAGAGGAGCTGGCTCCATCTCTCCTTAGGAAGAGAAGGCCTTTATTCTGAGCCTCTAAGAGAAGAATGAGAGTCTGAAATAGACCAGTACTATTGAGCCCACTGCTGACCCTTACCTTAGTGCAGAGTCACTGAGGGCCAGCATGCTAGCTCCTTCTTTCTAGAACAGGGTTTTCAAGTTTATTCTGGTATTCCATCCTTTTCTTTACTCTCGTGCCTCAGTTTTCCCACCTGAGAAATGGAACACTGAAGGCAGATGTCTAGTTATAATCTTGACATGGTGGATTGGGTGAGGCTGCTCAGAGCTATGCCAGAGCCCACACCCTCCCTTCCCTCCTCAGGTGGCTGGATGCTGAAGATGACCCAGGCACAGGAGCAGGACAGAGGCCTCTATTCATGCCTGGCCAGCAATGGGGCTGGGGAGGCACGGAGAAACTTCAGTGTGGAGGTGCTGGGTAGGATGCAGTGCTCTGTTCGTGGGAGTACCAGGAGGCCTGCTCCCACTGGGGAGCTTCCAGGGTGGGCAGAAGATGGGCAGTCTGTGTCTCATTTTTCTTCCCTCATCAAAACCTCTACTCTTGGGGATTCACCCGCCTCTGCCTCCCTAGTGCTGGAATTAAAGGTGTGTGCCACCATGCTCTGGATGGCACACACTTGCAATCTCAACACTGGGGAAGCGGAGATAGAAGACTCCCGGTGGCTCACTGGCCAGCCAACCTAGCTTACTTGGTAAGTTCCAGGCCTGAGACCCTCTCTCAAAAACACCAAAACAACAGTAACAACAACAACAAAGGAGGGTGTGGTAGCTCACACCTTTAATCCCAGCACTTGGGAGGCAGAGGCAGACAGTCTTCTGTGAGATCCTGATCTGCATAATGATTTCCAGTCCAGCTAGGGCTATAGGGAGACCCTGTCTAAACACACACACACACACACACACACACACACACACACACACACACCCCTCATGAGAAATGATATTTGAAGTTAACCTCTGACCTCCACATGTACATGTGCATACATACATACATGAACACATACACTCAAAACCTCTGCTATGAAGCTGCTCTGGAACTTCCAGATGCAGCAGGAGCTAACCCAAAGTGGAAGGGAGCAAATACTCTCAACACCCCCACACTGCCTTCTCTGATCGGGTGGCCAGCACTCAGCCTGGGAGCAGGCACTGGGGTGTGGGAAAACGCGGTACCTGAAACCTGGCTTCCTGCTGTGTCCTGCGTGTGCTGCCCAGTTGGTGACTGTCTGTCTCACTGCCTCTCCCAGTTCCTCCCAGGATTGAAAACGAGGACCCAGAGGAGGTTGTCAAGGTACCTGAGGGACGGACTGCGCAGCTGGAATGCAATGCCACAGGTGAGGACTATGCAGTTTGGCAGGCCCCATCCCCGTGGCTACCCACTGGGGGTCTCTCTGCGGCTCACCATCTGCATCAGGACCCTCTCTTATGCATTTACTGTTTTTGCTCTACTCACTGCCTGACTGTAGTCAGCTGCCAGGACTCTCCACAGCGCCTCTTTGTCTGACCCCTAATACCCCATGAGCTCCATCCCAAGTCCCAACTGCACTAGGGCTTCCCTGCCCCAGCTCTGACCACATAGGACCATAATGGCCTGTGTCTGAGCTCTTAGAGGGCTGAGACCCTTGCCACCATGAGTTCCTTAGTGCCAGGCAAAGTAAGCTCCCACTGATGCTACTGAAAAGATGGCTTGGTGGGTGGATGTTTGTGGGGATAGAGAGAGAGATGATGGATGAATGGGTAGGTGGATAGATGGATGTTTGTCTGGATGAAGGAAAAGATGATGGATGAATGGATAAATGGATACATGCACAGATGTATGGATATTTAGATGGATGGATGAAGAAATAGGTGGATGATGGATGAATGGACGGATGGACAATTGGATAGATGACTGGACACTAAGAGGGTTGGGAGATAGATGGATGTTTGGATAGATGGATGAAAATATAGATGATGGCTAAATGGGTGAATGGATGGATGGATGGTTGAATAAATAAGTGGGCAGTATGTGGGTAAGAAAATAAATGGATGGATAGATGGGTGGTTGGGAGAGTAAATGGATGAAGAGATTGTGTGGAAAAATAGACGAATGGGTGGGTGGGTGGGTAAGAAGATAGATGGACAGATGTATGAATGGATAGATGATGGGTAAATGTGGATGGATGAATGGATTCATGAATGAGCAGTAAGTGGGAGGACAGATGGACAGACAGGTGAGTAGATGGATAGATGGATGGAATAATTATCCATTCCATCTTGCCTGTCTGTACCAAGCAATCTCTGTCCAGTCCCCAATGAGGACAAACTACCCAAATCTGAAGGAGAAGCACAAGCCATTCCTGCTCTGCTTCACAAGCCTGTGCGATGCCGTGTCTGTCTTGGCCGGAAGTAGCCTCTGATCTGAGTCCATTTGGTCAGAGCCTGCTGAATGGTCTCACTGTCTCCTCTTCACATAGGCCACCCACCACCCAAGATCACATGGTTCAAAGATGGTCGGCCCCTGGCTGTTGGAGACCCCTATGAGATATCCCCAGATGGCATCCTCTTATGGGTCCCCCAAGCCAACCTGTCCAATGCCGGCCACTACTCCTGCATTGCTGCCAACGCGGTGGGGGAGAAGACCAAGCACATGCAGCTCAGTGTTCTTGGTGAGCTCCGGGCCTCCCCTGGCCACTCAGGTGCTGCAGGAGGGAACCCACACTTCCTACAAACCACCCAGTCTTTCTTTTCATTTCTCTAAGTATGAAAGCAAAAATAAAATAAAAGGAAAGACTGGATGACACATTACCCTCAGGGCATGAAGGGCCTAGGGGCACGCCCACCACCCTGGGCCCAGACTCCTGATCTTCCTGCCTCTACCTCTCAAGTCCTGGGGTTACAGGTATGGCCACTGGGGAGGTGGAGGCAGGAAGATCAGGAGTTCAAGGTCAGCCTCTGATACACAGCAAGTTTGGGGCTAACCTGGGCTATAGGAGACCCTATCTCAAAAAAACAACCAAAGAAACAAACAAGAAAAAAAAAATCATAATAGTTCTATTAAGCATCTATCACCGGTCAAGCTGAATCTTCACAGTCGCCCTTGGAGTTGGGAGATGCTGTTCCCCATGTCAGTGATGAGATTATGGAGTTCAGAGAGGAGATGTGATTCAGGTCTTGATGGTGGGCCTGCCCTTAAGCCTTCTATATCCTGAGGATGATGTGTTACCTACTGTCCTGTTAGGCTGGGAAACTAGAGAATGGCCCAAGTGAGGAGCCCAGGTGACCTTGGTAAAATCTGCTCCTAAGACTACAAGGAGAGATGGCTCAGTGGTTAAGAGCACTTACTGCTCTTGCAGAGGACCCCAGCTCAGTTTCCAGCACCCACGTCAGGCTTGTCGGGTGACTCACAACTGCCTGTAACTCAGTTCCAGGGGATCCAATACACTCCTCTGGCTTCTGTGGGCACCTGCACTCACATGCATATACCCTCACATAGTCACATATAAATGCACACAATTTAAATATACACACACATTTTTATATATATATTTCTTCGAAAAAAAAGATGGGCAGATGGACTGGGTATGGTGGTGCACACTTTTAATCCCAGCACTTGGGAGGCAGAAGCAGGAAGATCTCTGTATTTCAAGGCCAGCCTGGTCTACATAGTGAGTTCCAGGACAGTCGGAGCTAGTGAGACCCTGTCTCAACAAAAAATGAGATAAAAAAGACTAGAGGTAAAAGGAAGAGTTTGATCAGTGTGACAAAATGCATGAGAAACCAATCTCAGGGAGTTTGTTTATGGGGGGATATGTGTGTGTTCATGTGGTGTGTGCACACATATGTGGAGGCAGAGGCCGACATCAAGTGTCTTCCTTGATCTCTCTCCACCTTCTTTTTTGGAGACATGGTCTCTCACCGAACCTGGAGTTCATCAATGGGGATAGGCTGGGTAGCCAATGAGCTTCAAAGGTCCTCCTCCTCCCCCCCACTCCCCCATCCCCCACTCCCTGGACCCTGCCCCCACCCTCACTCCCCCACCCCCGCCCCCAACACTGGGATTACAGACACCACTATGCCTGACTTTTATGTGTGGCCGCTGGGGATCCAAACCCAGGCCCTCGTGCTTTCCTGTCAGGCACTTGACCAATGAAGCTGTGTCTTCAGTCCCAGGAAGGGTTTATTTTGCTTATAGTGTCAGAAGTCTCAGTCCATGGTCTCTTGGCTGGTTTGTTCTGGGCCTATGTGTGGTAAGACAGTACACCATGGTAAGAATGTGTGGTGGGTCAAAGCAGCTCACCTCATGGTGGTCAGGAGACAGAAAGAGACAGTAGTAGGTCAGGGACAAGAAACAACCCCAAGAACATGCCCCCAGGGACCTCCTTCCTTCACCCAGCTAGGCCCCACCCCTCAAATCCACTCTTTCAACATGTCATTCAATAATAAATCACCAAGTAGATGCAGCCACTGGGGTCAGATCCCTCATGCCGCAGTCACTGCTCAGTCGTGTGCCCACAGCTAGGGACCAGGCTTTAGTCTGTTCCTTGACAACATCACATCCAAACCTTCACGTTGCCCCTTCAGAGGCTGACAAGGACCGTTTTTAGGATCCGTGAAACAGAACAGGGATTTGTCTCCCGCTCCTCCTCAGCAGAACCAGGAAGGCTCTGGTTAGATGGGCAGCTAGGCCTTGTGTTGAGTTGATGTTGACAGGTATTGGGGAGACTGAGACTGGTTGTTCAACTTGCCTATAGTATAGCTCATGGCAGAGGAGGGATTGGCTCCCCCGAGCTTCAGTTTCCTGTCTGTGTAACACAACAGCAGCACCAAGGTTAGAGTTCTAACGGTCCTGGTCTTTGGGGTCCACGGGCCCAGGGCCGGAGTCGTCTGTGTCCACCAGGGCCCTGCTGCCTTCTTTTCACAGTGGTTCCCACCATCCTGGGAGTGGCTGAGGACAGTGCTGATGAGGAGGTGACGGTGACCATCAACAATCCTATTTCCCTCATCTGTGAGGCGCTGGCCTTTCCTTCCCCCAACATCACCTGGATGAAGGATGGGGTTCCTTTTAAGGCCTCCAAGAATGTCCAGCTGCTCCCAGGTGATGCCCCAGGGGTGGACAAAGAGAGGATAGGTGACTTGTCCTCGGGCTAGGTCAACCTGAGTTCGTGGACATGGTGAGGGCCAGTTGGGGGGTGACCTTGGCCTCTGTTTCCCAAGCAGGTACCCATGGGTTGCAGATCTTGAATGCCCAGAAGGAAGACTCCGGCCAGTACACATGTGTGGTCACCAATGAGCTAGGAGAAGCCACAAAGAACTATCATGTGGAAGTCCTCAGTGAGTCCTCCCCACTTCCAGGACACCAGCTGGATAGGCAGGAGGCTGTCTGGGAGTCCTGGTCAGACTTGAGACCCAGGTGCCTTCCTGTGGCTATGTCTTAGAGTCACAGGCAGCCATGGGGGGAGGAGGGCTCCAACTTTCCCTATTCTAATGCTGAAGGTAACTAAGCAGTGGGGACAATGTTGGGACTTAGGTCATGTGACTCCCAATCCCTCCCTGACCACTATCTTCCTTTGCCACTTCTGTGGAGGTTCAACCCAGGGTCCCTCAGCTTGAAACATGGTCCCCAAGAAGATGCTCTGGAGGTGACCCCAAGAATCCCCCTGCTTCATACCCTCCCTATCCCGTAGCTTTCTTAGTCTCAAAGTGGATCAGGTTACCTTCCAGGGAGACTGCCCCCTGCTTTGGAGACCGTTTCCAGGACCAGTGAATCAGGGTCTCATCACCCTCTCTGGACCTGTTCCTCATACCTTCTATGGCTTTTCAGTCCCCCCTTCCATCTCTAAGGATGACTCCTTGGGGGAGGTAGGTGTGAAAGAAGTAAAGACCAAAGTCAACAGCACCCTGACCCTGGAGTGTGAGTGCTGGGCCGTGCCCCCGCCCTCTATCAGCTGGTACAAGGATGGACGGGTGAGTGTGGGCCCCTTGAGCTCTCTCCCCTCTGGTTCCCACTGGCCCTGCTTGGAACTTTCTAGAAGAGAGCCCTGAAGGCACCTGACCCCAGAACTGACCTGAACTGGCTCTGTCCACACTTTAGCTTTCAATGAAAAATCTTCTAAAGCATTAAGCTCCATCTGCCCCCCCCCCACTTCCTGCTCTTCTAAGTTTGAGATTATATGAGTTTGATTTGACAAGGTTACTGGGTGGTCCCATCATTTTATATTGTGGTTTGGTTTTTACTGATTAAAATATAGAGTAGGGGGGTTAGAGAGATGACTCAGAAGTTAAGAGCACTTACTGTTCTTCTAGAGGACCTGGGTTTAATTCCCAGCATCTACATGGCAGCTACTCCCACCTGTAACTCCAGTTCCGGGGGATCTGATGCCCTCTTCTGGCCTCCATGGGCACTGTACACATGTGGTACACTTACATACATGCAGGCAAAATACATAAAAATCTAAAAATAACAAAATCTTTCAACAATAATAAGTAAAATATAAAGTGGAAATGTGGTAACGTGTTTGTAATCCCAGCACTTGGGTGGTTGAGGCAGGAGGGACAGAAGTTCAAGGTCATCCTTGACTACTTAGTGAGTTTGAGGCCAGCCTGGGCTACATGTGACCCTGTCTCAAAACAAGCATTTTGCTTTCTGATCTCAGACCCTCTCCCTTCCCTCTCTGTCCCTCCCCCAGCCTGTGACCCCCAGCCAAAGGCTCCGTGTTCTGGGGGAGGGAAGGCTGCTCCAGATCCGGCCCACGCAAGTCTCTGACTCTGGCCGATACCTGTGCGTGGCCACCAACATGGCTGGTGAGGATGACCAGGACTTCAATGTTCTCATTCAAGGTGTGTCCTGAGGCGGGGCAGGCTGGGTGACAACTAGTGGACCCAAAACAGGATATTGGCACAGAAGAGAAGGCCATGAATCACAGGGGATGGTGTCGGCTGGGGATGGGGAAGGCTGGCCCTTGGCAAGGAGTCCCACACAGGCATTGCCCATGGATCAACCATCTCAACACCACAGAGGAAGGACATGTGAAGAATGAGGTCCAGGAGATGAAGGTTCCTGCCTCAGATCAGGATTAAGTGTTCGGGAGGCAGGCAAGAGAAGGAGGAACAGGAGCCTGGGAGTCTGGGAAGGAGGTTGGGAAGGAAGGAGAGAGACAGGGATGTGGGGAGGATGGGAGGCAGGAGAGGAGCCAGGGAGGCTGGAAAGGAAGCAGAGAGGCTGAGAAGTCGAGTCAGGTGAAGGAAGGGCTGGATTTTGTTGGGTGGTACTTTAGGGTGGCCTGGTAACATCCTCCTCTCTGCCATATCTGGCCCTCAGCTGCCTCCCTGGCTCTGTCGTTACTGGGCTGCGTGCCCTGGAGATGTCACCTCTGGACCTTGGTTGCATCTTTTCCAAAACGCAGCTGATCTGATCAAAGGCCCCTTTGGGTCCTAACTGCTGAGGGCTTTGTACCTCTGTGTATGGGTACAGAAATGTAGGCCAAAGCTTGGTGGGCCAAAACTTCCCTCAAAAATCTTTCCATGTTACTGAGTCCTTTGGTTTTGTTCTTTTGAGTCAAAGTTTTACTGTGTAGTTCAAACTGACCTGGAACTTGTGATCCTCCTTCCTCCGCCTCCTAAGAACGAGAATGACAGGATGTATGCCAGGACACCCAGCTGTGAGGATTCTTTGAGGCCTTTAAACAGGAACTCCATAGGGTGGGAGGGTTTTCCAAGAGCAGCTGCTCAGTAAACCCCAGCTCCCTGAGGGAGGAAAGTAAAGAGATACCGCCACTGCAGGACAGGGTATGGCTGAGTGGCAGGGTTTGGGGTGCCTCCTAGGCTGGCAGGAGATCTCGGTGCGCAGAGGGGTATCTCTCTCCCTCCACTGTGATCCTAACAGCTTTATCTCCTCTCCCCCAGTGCCCCCCATGTTCCAAAAGGTGGGTGATGCTGATGCAGACTTTGAATTCCTGCCCCACGAGGAGGAGGCCCGGGGTGGGGTGACAGAATACCGGGAGATCGTGGAGAACAACTCAGCCTACCTGTACTGTGACACCAATGCTGTCCCACCACCAGAGCTCACGTGGTACAGGGAGGGTCAGCCCCTGTCAGCCGCGGACGGGGTTTCAGTGCTTCAAGGTAGGCCAGGCTGCACGATGAAGTTCGCTGCTCCCGGCTCTCCTTATGGAGGCTATCTGCAGTGTGATAGGCCAGGCTGCACGATGAAGTTCGCTGCTCCCGGCTCTCCTTATGGAGGCTATCTGCAGTGTGACTTCAGGGCCACTCTAGTCTGTGACTGAAATTTGCAGAGGCTAGGATTTGGATGGGGTGGCCCTCTGTGTCAAGTTTTTAGAACCGAGCTTCCTACTCTGGGTCAAGTCCCTGTCTGTGCTTTGGGATCTGTGTTGGTCTGACATGGTCAGGAAAATGGCATGCCTCTCTAGGGGAAAGTAGCTTTCTTTTTTAAAAAAAAAAAATTATTATTTTTATTTTACGTGTATGAGTATATTGCTGCATGTACGTAAGTGCACCTGTGTCGTGCAATGCCAAGGAGCTCAGAAGAAGGTGTTGGATTCCCTGGAACTGAGTTATGGATGGTTGTTAGTCACCGTGTGGGTGCTGGGAATTGAACCCAGGTCCCCAGAACGCATGCAAAAAGCCAGGAGTGGTGGCGTGTACTTGTAATCCTAGCACTGGGGAGGCAGAGACCGTGTCCTGGGGCTCTCTGGCCAACCAATTTAGTGTAATCAGTGAGTCCCGGGCCAGCGAGAGACCCTGACTCAAAAAAACAAAGATGGGGGCTGGAGAGATGGCTCAGAGGTTAAGAACACTGACTGCTCTTGCAGAAGACCTGGGTTCAAATTCCAGCACCCACAGGGCAGCTAGCAACTGTCCGTAACTCCAGTTCCAGGGGATCCAACGACTTCTTCTGTCCTCCTTAGGCATTGCACGACACGGGTGCACTTACATACATGCAGGCAATACACTCATACACACAAAATAAAAATAAGAAATTAAAAAAGCAAAGATGGACAGCTCCTGAGAAATGACACTTAAGGTTGTCCTCTGACATCCACATGTATGTACTCATACATGCACCCTCACCTGCACACACACACACACACACACACACACACACACACAGAGCTCAGCAAGGTTGTGACCTCAACACAGAAGATCCTCTCCGTGTTTCAGAGTCTACACTGTTCTCATAGCTGATAGCATGTGAAGATTTTGTATTTTCTTTTTACCATTTAAAAAATTTGCTTAGTAAAGGCTTGTTAATTTTTTAAGTGAGCCTTTCATTTTGGAATTTCTTATAAATGGTTTTGAATTAAAAGCTCCAGGATGAGGCTTAGAGATGTTTGGTTTCCCTTTGCCTGGGCCCTGGGGGACCAGCACTCAGCTCTGGTCTGCCCACTCTACCAAGTGGTGGGGGTGATGGGATGTTCTTCCTGCCTAGCATCTGCATCATGGTCTCCTGAGTCCAGGCCAGCACTGAGGCCACACTGGGGACAGATAGTTGGCTGTGATAGACTCTGATGAGCAGTCACACCAGGCTTTGAACTTGACCCTTGCAAACGAAAGAGCCCTGAGGCTCTGGGAGACTCCTTGCATATGGAAGCTGTTTGTCCAAATTAGAAATCCCAGGACTCAGTCCTAACTTGCCGCTGACCTCGAACCAGGACCAGGACCAGAACCCTGGCCACACATCCTGGGTCACTGTGGGCTCAGTCATGGGAAGATCCCTAACATGGATCAAGTTGATCCCAGCCATCTCTTGAACCCAGACCCCGGTTACCCAGACTCAAGCACCGCTGCTGAACTCTGACCCTGGTCACTGACCAGGTCACTGACCTCTAGTCTGGAACCCATTAAGGTCATGGTCACAAGTTGACCTGAATTCTAACCCTGACCACAAATTAACCTTAGTCTTCACCTGAGCCCCACTGTGACTTTGGCCTCCCCTCCCGTAACTTCATGTCAGATGTCTTTTATGCTGACCCTGGTCAAGTCACCCACAGCTGGGCTGGTGACCTCTAACCCAGAATCCTCATCACAGAAGGGTCTCTGCTTGAATCCAGTGCCAGCCCTCACAGATACCAGGTTCTGCCCCGCTGATTCTTGGTTGCAGAGGGTCCAGGTGGCTCCTCCCCTCAACTGGCACAGACCTGGAAGCTACCTCTTCTGACCTTTGCCCTTTGGCCAACACTGCTGGAAGCTTCATTTCCCCATCTGTAAAATGGACTCTCACGAACACTTGCACTACTGAGCCTGTACCAGAGCCTGGCACACAGCAAACTGTTAACTCAACTTGGTCTTGATCCTTCCCTTGACCCTCAATTCTCTGCTTCTCAGATGAGAGAGTGGGTGACAGTGATAGGCCCTGGGTCCTCCATAAGAAAAAGCAGTTTCCTTGCTTCAGGCCAGGACTCTTGTCCCTGAGCTCCGGCCTCTGTCCTATGTCCCTACAGGTGGCCGGGTTCTACAACTGCCCCTGGTGCGTGCAGAGGACGCAGGGCAGTACTCATGCAAGGCCTCCAACGAGGTGGGCGAGGACTGGCTACACTATAGACTGCTGGTGCTGAGTGAGTGCCCTAGCCAGGAAGGACAGGGGAGGCTCCGACCAGGGATGGGGCAGAGCGCCTCTGTGCTCAGGGGATTCATAACCGCATTGTAAGCTTGGGCTCTGAAGTCAATCAGAAGTAGCTTTAAATTCCCAGTTGGTCACTTTCTAGTTGTGTGACCTCGAGTCAACTCCAACCTGTCTGAGCCCCAAATTTCTTAGCTGCATTCAGGAATGGGAGATTTAGTGAGGAAGGCACGACGAGCCCCAGGCTGTGCTTGGCACCAAGAGCGTCCCTTGCCTCCAAACTTCACCCCAGCCATGTACCCGGACCGTTCCTCACTCTCCTCTCCCCAACCAGCTCCCCCTATGATCCTGGGTGACACAGAGGAGCTGGTAGAGGAGGTGATCGTCAATGCCAGCAGCGCCGTCAGCCTGCAGTGCCCAGCCCTGGGGAACCCGGCACCCACGCTTTCATGGCTTCAGAACGGGCTGCCTGTGTCCCCAAGTCCTCGGCTGCAGGTCCTAGAGGAGGGACAAGTCTTGCAGGTGAGATTAGGCCCCTCACAAGATGAAGACACTCTGGGGCAACTTTGGGAACCCAGCGATGATGTCATCTGGGCCAGAGGAGACCCTCACCCACTTAGCTATAGAAACCCACGCAACTCTAGCCTCACTCCCCAAGATGCCATACAGAGCCCCAGATGGGGGCCTGAGAGGGTCTGCTGGGATCACTGTGAGTGCCTGAGGCCTACATGTCTGCTGATGGGACACGGGGTGCTTGTGGCAGCGAGGGGATGAGAGGTGGAGACCAAGGGTCCTCCGAGTCCATTCAGAGCCATCAGCATTGGTTTCCTGGCACTGACTCCTACACCCACAGGTTTCCACAGCAGAGGTGGCTGATTCTGCCAGCTACATGTGTATAGCGGAGAACCAGGCAGGCTCAGTGGAGAAGCTGTTTACCCTCAAGGTCCAAGGTGAGACAGCTGGGGGGGGAGGCTCTGTGGGTATTCCCCTCTCTGAGGATGTCTTGGGATCCACACTTAGGGTTCAGGACCCCAGCATGGCCCCAGCCACATCCCAGGACAGAGAACATTTGGGAGGTCTTGATCACATCTGGGCCAACCCCAAGTGGCTAGGAAAAACTTTAGAGGGGACAGCTCTTCCTAGGCCTGTAAAGGACCATTATTGCGTACTTACTATATACCTGACATGGAGCTAAGAGACTCCTTCCAGCAAAGACAAGAGGCTGACCTGACTTTACAGTCATAAAACAACTCTGAGGGGTCACACTGGTAAGAAGGTCTCACCACCACTGAGTCTGCTCTCAACCACTGTGTCATCATGTGGGGACAGATGTGGGGACAGCTGTGTCCCCTAGGATGGAAGGGACAGTATTGAATTAGGAAAATCAAGAACTCAAACCTGAATAGCTATCTGGGCTCCGCCAGTGATAGCTGTGTGGCACTGAGAATGACTCTTCCTCTCTGACTGCCACCGTGTGCTCATGCGCAAGGTGGATGTTGTCCTTGTTGGGTTATATGAAGGTAGGCTAGGTGTGGCTGTGGGAGCTTGGGACAAGCCCTTCCTGGTCTCTGCTCCTCACCCACATACCTTCTCACGTCTGTCTTTACCCAGTCCCGCCACAAATCTCTGGAGGAAACTTCGAGCAGGTCACCGCCATCCTCAATAGCAGCGTCTCTCTCCCCTGCGAAGTCAATGCTCACCCAAACCCTGAGGTCACATGGTACAAGGAGAATCAGCCTCTGTCTCTGGGTGAAGAGATTTTCCTCCTCCCTGGTGGGTAAACTGAGTCTTTGGGTCCAGTTCAAGGCTATGTGGGAAGCAGAGCTACTTCCCCAAAGCTGGGATAGGGCTGTGCGTGTCTGGGGTCTTGTTGATACAAGGGCTGGCTCCCCACAGGCACCCACACACTGAGACTGTCTAGAGTGCAGCTGGCTGACTCTGGCACCTACCTGTGTGAGGCCCTCAACGCAGCAGGCAGAGACCAGAAGGTGGCAAAGCTCAGTGTTCTGGGTGCGTTCTGTCTCTATGTGATCTCATCTCCTCCCATCAGCCCCATGGGCCACAGAGCCAGCGGAAAAGCAGCTGCCACTGTGGCACCCTTTGTCGCCCTGTAGAGATCTAAACCTGTCTAAACCACACAGTCTACCACATAGCTTAAATTATAGACCTGGGAGTAGGACATGCTGGGGTTTGAAACAACCATGTAAGCCATTGCTCTGTAACCTTGGGCTAGTGTCTCCGTTTCTCTGAGCCCCGAATGTCCTCTGCAAGGTGACCATCCTTGTGAGGATGGAGTGATGGTATATAAAGCCCATGGCCCACCATGTGGTTCACAATGAGCTTTAATGGTGGTCATGCTGAGGTGGAGTGAGAGGCGAACACCAAGAGCTAACCAGAAAGGGGGGCCCTTCCCCAGACCGCTCAGTGATGAGAAGCTTGATTTGGGGTCTATGATAGCACTTGGAGTCGTTGGAGGTCCCTTAGGGAAAAGCTGGTCTAAAGTGTCAGCAGCCAGGACTCACCGGAAAGCCCCTAGCAGTCCTGGGGTAGGTTCGTTCATTTGTACATGTACAGCTGTGCCAGGTGCAGAGGGTCATAACTGAATGGGGGCACCTATATGAGTTGACTGGAGTGACAGCAGCTGAGGGACCCCCATGAAGGGTTATGCTCAGCCAGGAAAGAGCCCAGAGGGCTGTCAGCACCCCCAACCCATGTCCAGACATGAGGTCATCCTGGGCCACCAGCAGGTTCTTGTGGACTGGCCCGAGTTCTCTTTCTCTAGCCCCTCTGGGTCAGCACTAGCTGCCAGGGTCAGGTCCAACATTGGATCCCTGTGGGCCTCCATAGGCCATGGTGGGATCAGGGAGGATGCAGGCAAGGCCCCAGTGCCTCACTAGGCTTTCTTGCCCTTAGTTCCCCCCAGCTTTAGACAGGCTCCCGATGGCCCCCAGGAGACTGTCTTGGTGAGAACAGGGAACACAGCTATCCTGAGCTGCGAGACAGACTCGGTCCCAGAGCCAACTGTGACCTGGTACAAGGATCAGCAGCCGCTGGCCCTGGTGCTGCGGATGCAGGCTCAGCAAGCTGGACAGAAGTTGGAGATTCTGGATTCCCAGGTCAGTGACTATGGACAGCCTGGGCAGTGAGCTTAGCACCTTCTGATCCCATGGACCTGGGGAGAGAGGTAGGAGGTGTGTGGTAGGGTGTGGGGATGCCATCTCCTTGGTCCAGGTGGATACACGCTCCCTGCAGGAGAACTGGGAAGACCAGGGGCTTCCAAGACCTGGACTCCAGCTCTAGCTCTGCACTGACTGACAGTGACCTTGAACAGGGACCTTCCTTACTCCTCACCTCAGTTGCCCCAGGATCCAGAAGGTTTTATTTTTCAGCCCTTCTGCCTGAAAGAACTCTGGGACTCTCTCTCTCCCGGTTACCCTCCCTCCCTGGTGTGGGTCAGGCACTCAAGTGTTTGTTGAATGACTATTCGCCTCTCTTCTGGAACTTCCGTTGGGGCTCTTGTCTTCTGGTCCTGCTCCAGCCCCACAGTGAGCGGCAGGCCAGGGAGTACCGGGGGCAATCTTGTACTCTTGTCTTCTGAGCCCCTTCTCCTTGAGGCTCTTGGGAGAGGCTATCCAGTCATGCCTCCCTGTAGCTTCCCAAGCAGGGCCACTTTATTGGGGAATCTCCGCTCTTCTCTCCCAGGTGTCAGATAAAGGGGTGTACAGCTGCCGGGTCAACAACACAGCCGGAGAGACCACCCGGACCTTCGTCCTCACCGTCCAGGGTAAGCCAGACCCAGTCTGGCCAGTGTAGCCAGGAATCCTGACATAGGAAGGGCAATAGTCTTTCTTGGCTCTTGGCATGCTCAGCTTGGGGGGGAGTTGGGATCCCAGAAAACCCAACAAGCCACCAAAGCCACCCCAAACCAGTGGCTTCAGGGTTCTTATCTAGTGAATTGAAAAAATGAAATTCACAGATTACAGAGGGGAGCAGGAGAAGTTTATTATGCACTCATAGGTGGGAGCTGAGAGAGAGAAGGTAAAACTCCTATGATGCAGGAGGGGTCCCAGGAAATAGCGTTCAGTTGAGCTGCTAGTCTGGGGACTTTTTAAAGGACTTATGATAGAACCTGGGGTAAGACATGGGGGGCGGTGTGAGCTGGTCAGTCCAGGTGTTGCCTCTCAATCTCAGTCACGTCTTTACATCCAGCTTCCAGGTGAGGGTAAGAGATAAGAAGCAATCAGAAACCAGAGCTTTCTTCTGGCATTCCTGGCCTCCAGGAAGGACCACAGCTTTAGGTCCCTGCCCTACCCAGCCAGTTTCTGTTTCCTGTTCTGTGGACCCCAGGGTGGAAGAATGTACTACTGGGGGCTAAATGTACAAGATACAGAATTTAAAAGACCAAGATGAGCCTGGAGGTGTGACTCAGTTGACAGAGTGCTTGCCTAGCAGGCATGACGCCCTGGGTTCCATCCCCAGCTCTGCATAATACTAGGGTATGGTGGTCCATGCCTATAATACCAGAACTTGGGCAATGAAGGCAGGAAGAGCAGGAAGCTCAGGTGTTAAAAGGTCATCCTTAGCTACATATCTAGTTCAAAATCAACCTGGGCTATGTGGGATCTTGTCTTGAAAAAAAAAAAAAGGATCAAAATTAGTAGTATCCGCATAGGACTTTCCCTGCCCACTGGTGGTATTTAATCTGCTTTAGAGTACTGGGCACAGGCCTGGCGGCTGGGCAACGGATGAGGGAGCGCTAAGAGATCAGACAGTCAGAAGGTCTAGGGCCAGGTCAACTTCATCTTGAGCCCCAAGATTGCCTGTCTCATCAGCTTCCTGTTCCATCAGCACCCCCTGTCCCATCACCCCCCACCCCAACTCAACAGGCCCCGTTTCCAACAGCCCCCTCCCTGTCCCAGCAGCCCCCTAAGGACAGAATGTAGATTGGATGTAGATTGGATGTGCTTGGGCAAAGGTGAACCTGTTCCAGTATTCTAGGAGCTCAGTCAGGTTTTGTTGGGGTCAGCAGTATGTCACCGAGTGTAGCTTAGCCATATAACAAAGAGCTCCCAAAATACAAATGATTACGTGAGAGCAGTTTCTCCCTCTTGTGCCAAAGCGCTGAGGTGAATGTCCAGGCTGGTGGGATTGCTCAGCTCTGTGTGGTAATTCAGAGACCTGGGCTCCTGCTCCTTGCTCCTCTGCTTCCCCTGGTCTTGTGGTTGGAGCAGAGATACAAGTATCCGGACCCTGTCCTGGCCCTGCAGAGACCAGGAAAGATCAGGAGCAGAGGCTCAGAGTTCATCTTCTGCAGAAGTCAGATCTGTTGCTTCTGCCTGTGGCCCGTAAATGAGAGTTTAGGCAGTTGGTTGGCCATACAGGCAGCAAGGGAGGATGGGACATGTAGTTTTTCCTTGAACAACCAGGTGTTTGGCTAAAACTCTGCTGTAAAGCATGGGTAAGAACAGGCTGGGAGAATCATAGTTGTCAGCCACAGATAACAAAGCCAGTAGCCAGGATTGGTACATCCAGTCCAGAGCTACACTGAACATAATCCCGGGTAATGGCTGGTGCCAGGTTTGCTAAGCCAGGCACACAATTCCTTCTGAGAACTCCCTCAGTGAGCAGTAGGAAGTTGGGGTGTCTGACCCTGAAAAGCAAAGACATTTCATCTTGCTTGTTCAACTGATAACGCCTGTCTAGGTGCATGGCTTCTTCCCGGCTGAGCAGGAAAATACTGGGATTGATTAGTGATGTCTGTTTTAGGATAAGTTAAGGACCACTGGCCTGTGAGCCATGTATTTATCATCTTTGGTCTGAGTGGACGCCCCTGGTCTGTGCTTTGTAGAGGCTTTGAAATAGCCAGCTGTCACTTCTGGTCCCATCTATGAATAAAGCAAGCCCCACCTTCATCAGTGCCAGAGCATAAAATACAAAGCCCCAGCTCTGCCTGAGAGAAAGGAAGTGGGGAAGCCAGGAAGTGTGTCAGAAATGTGGCTCTTTCCCGTAGTGCCCCCAATGTTTGAGAAGCCTGAGACAGAGACAGTGAGCCAAGTAGCTGGAAGGCCCCTAGTCCTGGCCTGTGATGTGTCCGGGGTCCCAGCACCCACTGTTACTTGGCTGAAGGACAGAATGCCCGTGGGTGAGTATGCATGCCTACCAGTTTAGTGCAAAACAAACCTTTATTCACTGTAGCTATAAGGAAACCCAGGAAATAGTTATTAACATTCTTGTCAAAATCAAAGGCTAAGAAAACCTCGCGGTGCCCGTACCCTCAGCACTGGGGAGACTGAGCCAGGAGGATCCTAAGTTCTCAGCCAGTCTGGGCTACCTAATGAGACCCTGTCACTCACACACACACACACACACACACACACTCTCAAAAGCAGAGTCTGGCAGTGAAATGGAGGCCCCGCCCCCATTTGCCTTTCAAAGCTTTTTATTGACTATGGAATCCAACTATCAGGAGCTGCTCCAGTGGGTTCTCCACACCCAGCTAACCCTGAGCTTGGCTTTGACCCCTCCCCCAAGTAGCCTCTCCTCCAGCCACTCAGCTCTACCCCTGCCTGGCCATGGGTCACCCCCATCTAAGCTTCACTCCTCACCCTTGACCTCCGCTTTCCTCACACCCCGCCAGGTCAGTCTGTAAACTCCTCGGGTGCTGCCCACTACCGTCCACTGGTGCCTCCCCTAGGCCGGGTACCACTGCTCCCGTCAGTGCCTGGGGAGGGCAGCAGCCCCCAGGCTGGTCTCCCAGGCCCATGGGTGCCTTGAGTGCATACTCCACATTTGGCAAAAAGTTCCAACTGTGCCTCTGAAGGGTTTGTGACAGCTGTGAGGACCTTGGCCTGTCAGTTGGATGACATGCCTTTCCCATTCTTAAGAATAATCCCTCTCCCTGATCCTCTTTCTCCCTCTAATAACAGCTTTACTGAGCTATAGGTCACCTACTGCGCAGTCCACCCTTTTAAAGCATACAGTTCAGGAATTTCTAGTGTATTCACAGAATTGTACCACCACCACAATCAATTTTAAAATGTTCTCGTCACCTATTAGCCACAACTCCCCATTTCCTCCCAGCATCCCACCTGCTGCTGGGGATATGGAAGTCTGCTGTCCATCTCTGTGAGCTTCTGTTCTGGACATTTCCTAACGATGGCCTCATGTCGTGTGTGACCTGAGTCTGCCGCCCTTCACTTAGCCTGATGTCTTCAAGGCTTGTCTGGGCACATGGAGCAGTCTTATTTCTTTAGAAATTAATTTAATTATTTTTCTTCATTCCTTTATGACTAATGAATGCATCGAGTGGCTGAGAATCTCTCTCTCTCTCTCTCTCTCTCTCTCTCTCTCTCTCTCTCTCTCTCTCTCCTCTTTCTTTTTCTTTTTTTGGAGACAATGTCTCTCTGTGTAGCCCTGGCTGGGCTGGAGTTCACTATGTAGACCAAGCTGACCACAAATTCACAGAGATCCTCCAGCCTCTGCCTCCCAAGTGCTAAGATCAAAGGCATATACCACCATGTACGTTGCATTTTTTGATTTGCCTTTGGGTTGTAATGATGGCACTACTATGAGCCTTGACCTGCAAGTTTCCATGGGTGCATGGGTTTTCATGGGTGTGTAGGTTTCCATGAGCATGTGTTTTTGTCTCTCCTACACGGACCCTTTAGTCAGACTGGCAGCAGACCCTGCCTATTGTGCCTCAGCTCTTCACACGTGCTGTTTCCTGTCTGGAATACCTGATGGATGCTTGTGCCTGACTGATTTCCTGCTCAAGCCTTGCTTCAGCTGAGGGATGCCCACTGAGGAACCATTTCTGGCCTCTCCTCCCCCTCCAATCCCTCTCAGACACCCCCCTACCCCTCTCCTTCCCCTTCCATTAATCTCTGGCTCCCTCCCGCCCTTCCCCTCCCCTTCTCATCCCTCCCATCCCTCTCTGGTTCACTTCCACCCATATCCTGTCCCTCCCATCCTCCTCTGCCCTCCCACCCCCAGCTCCCTGACACCGAGAGAGCCCCATCAGCTGTCAAACCTGGGCTGCACTTGTGCCACTGTCTTCTGTGACATATTTCATGCTGCTTGAGGACAGGGACTGTGGTGGTCACATTTGGCTCCAAAGCTCCAGATCAGACACAGGGCAGTTGATCTGTGCACTTGGTGTTGAAAGGCTGGACAAATGAGGACAGTGTGGGTTGGAGGTGGACTGGTACAGTGAGAGACAACTTCAGGACAGAGCCGCAGCTGTCAAGAATGAAGGGAAGGCATTCCCAGATGGGAGCAGAGGGCCCAGAGCCCCCAGAGTGACCCATGTGGGACCACTGAGTGACTGGTTTCCCTTGATTGGTGACCTTAATAGATGTGGGAAACGAGGAACGCTGAGCCTCAGAGCAGGTCCTAGCCCCTGAAGGTGTGGGTTCCTTGCGGGAGGAACATCCTGAATGGGAGGGTTGTAAGATAGTGGAACACCCAGAGGTGGGTTGAGGAAGGTGGTTGCGATGGTTCATTTTAACTGTCAGCTTGACCCAACCTCGGATCACTGAGTCTCAGTGAGGAGTGTGTAGGTCAGGTTGGCCCGTGGGCGTGTCTGTGAGGGATGTCTTGAATATGTTAATTGGCGTGGGATTATCCAGTCCACTGTGGGCGGTACCCTTCCCTAGGCAGGTGGGCTGGAATTCTAGGAGAGCAGAGAAATGGAGCTGACGTGCATGCACTTCTCTTCGCTGTTGACTGTGGATGTGCCCTGACCAGCTGTTTTAAGTGCCCGCCTTGACTTCCCCACAATGATGGGCTGTAACTTGGAAGTGTGCACCAAATTAACCCTTTATCCATCCAGTTACTTTCTGTCAGGGAATTTTATCACAGCAACACAAATGAAATTAGGAAAGTGGTAATCTGTAGAGAAGCCCCTGCCCCTCTGGGCCTCAGTTTCCCTATCAGTGCAGGAAAGGGGTACAGGACTCAAGGGCTTCCTTCGGTCCCACAGAGAGCAGCGTGGTGCAGGGTGTGATCTCACGGGGCGGCCGCCTCCAGTTTAGTCACCTGCAGCCGCCCCAGGCCGGCACCTATACCTGTGTGGCTGAGAACGCCCAGGCCGAGGCCCGCAAAGACTTCAAGGTGGCCGTACTGGGTATGTTTGCACCCAACACCTACCTCCTCCCGGTTGCCCCATCCCCAGCAGCCCCTGCCGCTGCCCGACCTCACCACAGCTCCTGTTGCAGTGGCTCCCCAGATCAGACGCTCAGGCGTGGCAGAAGAACACAATGTGTTAGAGGGACAGGAGGTGCAGCTGGACTGTGAGGCTGAGGGACAGCCGCCGCCAGAGATAACCTGGCTGAAGGATGGTGGCCCACTGGCCCAGCATGTGGGGCCTCGCCTCCGGTAAGGCCAGGTTGTACCTCTTGGGGTGGCAGGTCTGCACTCCCGTGTGCACCTGCCCACCACAACCCCTCCCCGTACAGGTTCTACCAGGATGGCAGCACCCTGGTGCTAAAGGGCTTGAAGGCTGGGGACTCAGGCGCCTACACCTGTGTGGCCCACAACCCAGCTGGGGAGGATGCCAGGCTGCACACAGTGAATGTATTAGGTGAGAAACTGAGGCTGAAGAGAGGCAGGTGACTCCAGGGCCAGGGACTCTGTGAGGACACCTACAGAGTGGTAAGTAGGTGGAGTCAGGGAATTTAGTTCAAGTCCTGGCAGTAGCTGTGCTGCAGGCTCCCTGGGCCTTCGGGCCTTGTTTCCAAATGAGAGTCCCAGTTCTTCTGTCCAAGGTGAAGCAGGGGACAAAGAAATCAAGGAGAAAACAAATGACCCTGTGTCCCACATAGTGGGGCTTATCCCTCCAAGACGCTGAGAACCCAACCTTAAAAGTTGGGTGCCGCATCCTAGAATTCCCCAGGAGAAATCCTCCCCAACCCCAGGCTCCTCATCTCTTTTCTCTCTCCCACCCTCAGTTCCCCCCACCATCGAGCCGAGAGCTGGTAGCTCAGGGACCCTGGTGAGCAAAACTGGAGAACTCGTGACCATGGCATGCCCCGTCCGGGGTTCTCCTCCCATCCATGTGAGCTGGCTCAAGGACGGTCTGCCCCTTCCTCTCTCCCAGCGTACCCTCCTCCACAGTTCCGGCCGCACCCTCAGGTAGGGCAGAGGTCTAGCCACTGGTCACCCATGGCTACTTCAAACATCTTATAGGCAGCTCGGGCTCCAAACACTTCCACGTGGATTTTAGCTTGCTAAGGTGTACTGTGACTCGGGAGACCAAGAAGACCCCCCCCCCCACTCCCAGTGAAACTCCAGAAAAGAGAGATCTCATTCTGTGGTCCAGTGGGAAGGCCCAGCCAAGGAGGCAACCCCTGATCTCACCAACTCAGCCTGGCCAGGTGGAAGGCAGGGAAGGCTGTCTGGAAGAAGGTGCCTGAGCAAAGCTGAATCTGGCTGCTCTGTGGAGTGCTTGTTTGTTGTTCCAGGCACTGGAATACAGTAGGGAGCAAGAGGGTCCCTAGGCCTTCAGCTTTTGGGGCCAGACGGGGGAATAGAAAATAAACAGGTACCAGACCATGAGCTCTGAAGATGGTTAAAGCTGGCAGAGGTGATGGGAGGTGGCAGCAGAGGGTGCCATGGCCAGGGCGAGATGCTCAATCTGATGAGGTGACATGGTGTCAAGATACAGTGAAGGAGGACCAAGAGTGGATTCCATGGGGATCAGTGTCTAGGCAGAAGGCACGGCAAGTCCAAGGTCCCCTGAAAAACAGGACACCTGAGTATTCAAGTGTCAGAGTGGGATCAGGATGGGCAGGTGCTATGGGTGGGGCCTTGGGATTTCCTAAGAAGAGCAAGTGATCGCCATGAAGGGGTCTCGGCAGACAACCATCACAGTGGGGCTTATGGTCCTTACTGTGGTGTGGTGCACACAGCCATGTGTCCACCAGCACAGCTCTGAGCCAGGCCTAGTTTGTGACAGCAGCGCATAACTACTCCCCTATCCCTAGCCTGCTGCCCCCATAGCAGCCAAAAGGAAGTTCTCCAGAAAGCCAAGCCGCAGCCCAAAGAATAGGTTTGAGCAGAATCTGCACATCCTGCTTGAGCCAGCCCCACTCACCATAGCCAAAGGCTTAGTAGCCATCCATGGGTGTCTGGTAAAGAAGACATTCATCCCTGGGACGGGGCGTCCCTTAGCCTTGAACAGGCAGGAAGTCCTGACAAGGCAGACGAGCCCCGAAGATGTTTTATGCAGCAGAAACCAGGCACAAAAGAACAAACAGCACAGAAGCCCATTTAGATGAGGGACTTCGAGCTAGCTGTCAAACACGCAGTGGCAGAAGGCAGAATGGGGGTCGCCAGGGCACGGGGGCCAGCTTTGCTTCTACAGGACAAGTTTCTAGAGAGTCAAGGTAAGGACAGCAGTACTGCTGAATTAGGTGCTTAGACATGACTAAGACAGGAAATTGTCCTGTGTGAGTTTTGTCAGCTGCTATTTGCACTTTTTAAATATTTTATTTATTATTTTTATTTAGTTTTATGTGTATGAGTGTATTGGCTGCATGTATGTAAGCGCACCTGTGTCATGCAATGCTGAGGAGGTCAGAAGAGAGTGTCAGATTCTCTGGAACTGGAGTTACAGACAGTTGTTAGCTGCCATGTAGATGCTGGGAACTGAACCTAGGTCCTCTGCAAGAGCAGCCAGTGATCTTAACTGCTGAGCCATTTCTCCAGGCCCCTGGGTGTGTTTTGAGGGTAGAGTTGGTAGTGTTTGTGAAGAGAGAGAGAGATGGGGAGGTATGGAGCTTTCCTCCTAGGTTTTCTTTCCTTTGGTTGGTTTGTCTGTTTGTCTGTCTGTCTGATGACAGGGTCTCATATGGCCCAGGCTGACCCTCAAACTCACTATGTAGCTAAGGATGACCTTAAAGTTCTGACCCTCCAGCCTCCACCTCTTGAATATTAGGATTATAGGCAGGCGCCACCACATCCAGTTTATAGTGTGTTAGGAATCGAACCCAGGGGCTTCCTGGGCAAGCACTCTACCAAATGAGCTACATCCCCAGCCCTTGTCTGGTTTGTTTTTGACTCTGAGGTTTTTATTCTGGCTCAGTTCTCTAAGACCAGAGGCTTTAGAGAGGTCGAAGGCCTGGAATTGGGTTTGTTACTCTCAGATTCTGTAAAGTTAGTTGAGTTTGGATCTAAGCGGACTAGCTTGGCAGTGAGGTACGTATGATACAGTAAATAAGAAGAGTATTTACAGAGGCCGAGGAAGAAGAAGGTTTTAAAATTTTTTATTTTATCATGATTGTTATCATTGTGTATACATGTGCACATGCTATGTGGGGCAGGACGCGCACATACCATGGCATGTATTTGAAGGTCAGAGAACAACTTTGTGGAGTTAGTTCTCTTCCTCTGTCTTGCCATGGATTCTGGGCATCACTCAGGTGACCAGAAAGTCCCTTTAAAGACCCTCTGAGCCATCTCACCAGCCTGGAAGAGGAAGTTTTTAAAGGCAAAATAATTGCACAAGATATCCCGAAGCCACAATCCTCAGCCGCAGGTTATTGACAAGGGCGGCAGATGTCTGAGGCTGCACAGGCCGCTACCGGGCAAGGAGAGACTGAACTGGCATCTTCTTCCTCGGCCTCTTCACCTCAGCATTATATTCTTCCTGGACTGTGGTGAGGGCAGCTGAGTCTGGGGTGAAGTGGAGTCCAGAGAAAGTGGAGAGGACTTGACAGTGGAGAAGGGGATGGGAACAATTTAGGAGGTCAAAAAAGAGATTATCACTCAGAAGGACGTCTGGCCCCATGACAGGATGGTGAATTTACGAAGCAGAGATTTGTCGAGGTGTAAAGGATTGGAGAACACAGTGGAGCGAGGCTCAAGAAATGGCAATTTGGGGCCCAGAGGATACCAAGAGGCCAGGAATAGGGTGTGGTCAGGGGGATGGAGGGTTCTCATTTTAGAATTAGCCTTTGAAGGCTGGGCGGGGTGGCGCACACCTTTAATCCCAGCACTTGGTAGGCAGAGGCAGGCAGATCTCTGTGAGTTCAAGGCCAGCCTGGTCTACATAGTGAGTTCCAGGACAGCTGGGGCTACAGGGAGACCCTGTCTCAAAAAGACCTTAGGGAAGGAAGTTCCATTTAACACCTGTCCCTCCCTCCCTCCTTCTCTCTCCCTGTCTCTCTGTCTCTCTGTCTCCCTGTCTCCCTCCCTCCCTCCCTCCTCCCGTTGGGAAAGGGGTTCAGGATTTCTCAGGTGCAGTTGACAGATTCGGGTGTCTTCACCTGTGTGGCCGCAAGCCCAGCTGGCGTGGCTGACAGGAACTTCACCTTGCGGGTGCTCGGTATGGAGCAGGGTGGGACAGGCTGGTCCACTGGCTACGGTGGGTAACCATAGGTCCCCTGCCCACCAGGGTCGAATCAAAGGTCAGCCCTGGCAGACCCACTTGTGTCCAAGAATAACGAAAAGGCGATTCAGCCCAATTCCCTCAGTTGCCCATCCATTTGTGTCCCCGGCAGCGAGCAGGAACTCAGCTGTGCCAGCCTTTTCTATCATAGTTTAGGGCAGTGAGCAGTGATCCTCCTGCACCTGGGCCCCATGTGGGGATGAGGGGATGCTGTGGAAGTGGGGAGGACTCACCTAGCCTGAGGGCTCTGAAGGGCTTCCCCAGGAGGACCATAGGAATAGTCTATGTGGAGGTCCTGGGACAAGGGCCACCTGCTGTGGATTAAGATGGATCTTACCCACTCTTGTCCCCTACAGCGCCCCCCATCCTGGAACCAGTGGTATTCCAGAATGACGTGGTGGCTGTCCAAGGCTCCCCAGTGGTCCTCCCATGTGAGGCCCGAGGAAACCCCCTGCCCCTCGTGTCGTGGATGAAAGATGGGGACCCCTTGTTGCCCCAGAGCCTCGAGCAGGGGCCTGGCTTGCAGCTGGAGGCAGTGCATGTAGCTGACTCGGGAACCTACTCTTGTGTAGCGGCAAGCGAAGCAGGCGAGGCCAGAAGGCACTTCCAGCTGACTGTGATGGGTGGGTCCTCCGTCCTCAGCAGCTTCTGTGGGCTGGAGGGTGAGGTGGGAGAAGAGGGTGGTGGAGATGAGGCCCCTGGAGGTTTGGGATTGCCCCTAGGAGTGAGATTCCAGAAAGAGGCCTTGCTGGCCCTGCCTGCCAGGTGACTGGGCAGCATCCTTCTTCCTCAACTCTGTTCCAACATTCTCAGCCACCTGACCTTGTGTCAGAAACACAAGCAAGAACCACCAGCAACTGGGGATGGAGCCATAGACAGCACAAAATACTGCAATGTGGGGACGTATTCAAAAGAACAAACTCAGTTCTGTCCTTTCCCCATATACTGAGTCTTGTTGGTTTCAAAGTTCAGATAATTGTCCCAGGAAGGTGACCTCATGGCCTTCGATGTTTACATGATCATACAGCACCCCCACCCCACTTAGCTGTCTCTTGGCTCCTCTGCCATGATCCTCTGGATGGTGGGGGACTGGAGAGAAGCCTCAGGCCCCAGCATCCAGGCCACAGCTGACCGAAGGTGGGTGTCTTGTAGAACCCCCTCATATTGAGGACTCTGGCCAGCCTTCAGAACTGTCACTGATACCTGGTGCCCACCTGGAACTCCTGTGCAATGCCCAGGGCAACCCCATGCCCAACATCACCTGGCATAAGGACGGGCAGGTGCTGAACAAGCAGGAGGATAACAAACAATCTGGCCGCGTGCTGCGGGTGCAGAGTGTACAGGTATCGGTCCCTGCCTGCTAGGGGATGGGGGTAGGCCTGGGAGAAGAAACTCGCTTTCCTAGGTTTTGGGGGCAGCTGCCAAGCCCCCCTCAGATCCTTCTTTGTGTCCTGTGTGCCTAGGGGGTGTGATTTGCTGGCCTTTGCCCTTATGGGCTCCCAGGCAGGTCAGCGGCATGGGTGATAGAAAAACCAGTTGTCTGGGGCAGTCAAGGGGGGCTTCTCAAAAGAAGCAGGCCCTCCCTGACTCCAAGTCAGGATTGAGATGAGAATTCTAGAGTGGATGGGCTGGCTAGGAGGGGAGTTGGCAACCCACCATAAGATTTAAGTGTGAATCCAGGGTCATTAGCTATATATATATAAATGTATATTGGGAGATGGACATGTGGAGCCAGAGACAGTGGTTCACCCTGTGCCATCTGCAGGTGGACGATGCTGGACTGTACACCTGCCTGGCAGAGAGTCCTGCAGGTGAAGTTGAAAAGAGTTTCCGGGTCAGAGTTCAAGGTAGGGGACCTAGGAACCGGGGCAGGGGGAGCAGGATGGGGCCTAGGGACAGGTCTATCTCTCACATTCTCTTGTCCTTGCAGCCCCTCCAAATGTTGTTGGGCCCCGAGGTCCCCGCTCTGTAGTTGGCTTGGCCCCAGGGCAGCTGATCCTGGAGTGTTCAGTGGAGGCAGAGCCCACACCTGAGATTGAATGGCATCGAGGTGGCGTGCTGCTGCAGGTGGGCCTCTATATCTGTACCTCTGAGACCCCTGACCAGATGCGTCCAGGGTGCTGAGGCCCTGCTCTGGAGAGTCCTTTGCAAGTCTGCATTAGGAACAGCCTCTACTTCTATTATTATCACCCCATGCCATGGCTGAGCATTGCAGCAAGGCCAGGCTAACCACCCAGCGTTCCTCCCATGGCACCTTTAAGTTACACAGAGAGGCTCTGTGCCTGAGCTTGTGACAGGTTCTCAGTGTCTGTCCTTCCCTGGGTCCAGTTTGCAGCTATGGACTTCAGGACCGTAGGCCTTTGGGTGGAGGTTCCAGGGACGGTGCCTGCTCCTTCCAGGTCTATGGTCTCAGCTAACTGAACCTTAGCTGCAGGCCTATTGCCAGCCTGGGATGGAGCAGAGACCGTTGCCCAGCCCCAAAGGTTCCTTAAGTCCTCCTGGCCTAGTGACTAGCCAGACCAGGAAGGGCTGGATTCATAGAGAAACCAGGACATGGACATCAGCCGGTGGGGCTCTGAAAAGGGCTGGACTCCTGTGTCCTGCAGCAAGATTTTCCCTTCTGCCCCTGACTTTCCCAGCAAGAGGATGTCAACTCAGGACTTAGTCTTGAATCCATGAGACCAAGGTCGGGGGGTCACAGTCAAGTGCTAATAAAGACCTCTCTTCCCTCCCTTCCCCCACCCACCCTACGGGACTCTGCAGGCAGATGCCCACACTCAGTTCCCAGAGCAAGGCAGGTTCCTCCAGCTGCAGGCGCTGAGCACAGCTGATGGTGGGGACTACAGTTGCACGGCCCGCAACGCTGCCGGCAGCACCAGCGTGGCCTTCCATGTGGAGATCCACAGTGAGTGTCCTCCTCTCTACCTGCCCTCCCCTCAGAGCCACAGGCTCCAAGCCATGCCCTCTGTCCCTTCCCAGAGGCACCCGCCATCCAGCCAGGACCCAATGCTGTGAATGCTTCAGTGAACCGCACAGCCCTGCTGCCCTGCCAGGCCCACGGTGTACCCACACCCCTTGTGAGCTGGCGGAAGGATGGGGTCCCTCTGGATCCTGGGAGCCCCAGGTGGGAGCCAGAGAGGGGCTTCAGGAAGATTTGGGGCTTAGGGTACCTGTTTGTGGGTCACAAACAGGTACCCACCTGGGCAGCAGTTGGAGCGGAAAACTGCTTCATCACAGAATATGGGTAGCTCTCAAGCCACAGGGACAGGCAGACCATTGGTTGGCAGTGCTGAGGTACCCCACAGGCCTTGCGGCTCTCGGCTTCTCTCTGTACCTCCCCCCGCCCATTTCTGTGAATAGGCAGCCGCTCCTTCCTCACATCCTGCTTACACTCCCTAGCTCACACAGCCTGTGGACCCTGCAAGCCATCTGTTAATATCAAGCCCAAATTCCCAGGGCACACAATACCATTGGCCCAGCCTAAGTGATGGACCGTCCCCTGTCCAATCAGCAGTGTCCAAGGGCAGGATTATACAGGCCAGGCCAGGCCTTGGGGTCATTCTCAGAAGCAGCGACAATGCTACCACCCAGAGCAGCCATTCTTGATCTCTCTGATGTCAAGTGGCATGTGGTTGCCCCACATGTCTGTGACCCCTGGCCTTGGTCTCATGGATTTGACTGAGTTATCTTCTTTCTGGGAGGGCTAGGGGCAAAGGGGATAATTTCTCTGGAGACACGATCTTGCATGGTTCCAACCCCTCTTAGTACCCCCAACTGTCTGTTTCCATGGCAACCCTTCTTTTCCTTCCAGGCTCCATTTTTTGTCTGAGGGCTCCCTGCGGATCCAGCCAGTCTTGGCACAAGATGCCGGCCACTACCTCTGCCTGGCATCCAACTCCGCTGGCTCTGACCGTCAAGGCCTGGACCTCCGAGTGTTTGGTAGGCAGACTAGGGAAAGATGTTCTTCCTGTCCTCAGTACCCTCTCCTGCTGGGGCTGGTCCTGTAGCGTTTCTGGGCTACCCCAGCTGTTAGGAAGGATCCTCAAGAGGTTTTGATCATGAAGCCCATGGGTGAAAGCTTTTGTTTCTGTGCACTCAAAGGCCACACCACAGGTCAGACACTTCCTTAAGTGAGTAGCACAGCACAAAATATCAGATAGAGAAGTCACTGGATCAAGTCCTCCAGTCAAGCTTCTGCCAGAACCTTGACCTTGGGCAGAGCTGCTGGAGAGGAACCCTGGATGGCTCCTTCAAGGACAGGATGTTCGGGATCTCAGAAAGGTCCAAGCTGTTCAGCTTAGAGACCTACTGTCAGTTGTCCCTGGAGAGATCCCCCATCCCTCCTCTAGGCTCTGGGAGACGGGCCGAAGAGGACAGCAGTGCACCAAGCCAGGGTTCCTCTAGGCACAGTCTCAGAGAGCACCCAGACCCCCATGCCCAAGCCTGTCTCCTGATGACTGACCTCTCCCCAGAGCCCCCGGCCATTGCTCCTGGCCCCTCCAACCTGACCCTGACTGCCCACAACCCAGCCTCGCTACCCTGTGAGGCCAGCGGCTCCCCTAAGCCCGTAGTGACCTGGTGGAAGGATGGACAGAAGCTGGACTTCCACCTGCAACAGGAAGCCTACCGGTAAGAACAATGCATTTTGAACTGCTCAGTGTGGGAGATTGGGGGGGGGGCACGTCTCATGGATTAGTGAGCAGGGAGGAGGGGACAGGACCCGGAGGAGTCAGGGGCATGGTGATGCTAAGGCAGACAGGTAGGGATGAGATGCTTAAACACACGGCCCCACAGAAAAAAAATATGACTTACCTAGCACAGGCATACATTAAAAACAGATTGTAGGGACTGGAGAGATGGCTCAGTGGTTAAGAGCACTGGCTGCTCTTGCAGAGGACCTGGGTTCAAGTCCCAGCACCCATATGGTGGCTAACAATGGTCTATAACTCCAGTTCCAGGGAACCTGGTGCCCTCTTTTGACCTCCACGGGCATTGCATGACACTGGTGCACTTACATGTGTGCAGGAAAACACTAATATAAATAGATTTTTGTTTTGTCCTTTTTTTGAGACAGGGTCTCCCTGTAGCCCCAGCTGTCCTGGAACTCACTATGTAGACCAGGCTGGCCTCACAGAGATCCACCTGCCTCTGCCTCCCGAGTGCTGGGGCGTGTGCCACCACACCTGGCTCATATAAATAGATTTGGGGGGGGTCTTTTTGAGACAGGGTCTCCCTGTAGCCCCAGCTGTCCTGGAACTCACTATGTAGACCAGGTTGGCCTTGAACTCACAGAGATCTGCCTGCCTCTGCCTCCCGAGTGCTGGGATTAAAGGTGTGCACCACCAGTCCCAGCCTGATTTTTAAAAACTTAAATAAACAAACAATATAGAGGGTCCTGGGGTGTGGCTCAGTGTCAGGGTGCTTCTCTGGCATGTGCGAGGCCTGGATTCCACACCCAGTACTGCAAAACAAACAAACAACCCACGGATGTTGGAGTCGGTCCTGACTGAGCCAGTACACACAGCTACTCCAAGAACCCCCAAAGCATTGCACACATCTCACACACAACCAGTCGTCGAGTGGCTGCTGGGGGCGATAAAGAATCAACTTACCCACTGATTCCAAGACACCTATTATGTCAGGTGCCAGCTCATCGCTTCCCGGTCATCATCTTAATAATATCTTAAACACAGGCTGTAGAGAAACACACATAGGGACAAAAGTCATGCACAAGCACAATGGCTGAAACTTTGTTGGGGTGGAAGTTTCTAGAAGGTATTTTTAGAGTCAGAGCTAAGGGTAGATGTCAGGGAAGGAAGGTCCTGGCTCATCCCAGGCCAGTGGACCCGTCACTCAGACATCCATCTATCTGTCCTAGGCTCCTGCCCTCCAACGCTCTGCTCCTTGCGGCCCCCAGCCCGCAGGACTCAGCCCAGTTTGAGTGTGTTGTGAGCAATGAGTTGGGCGAGTCCCGCAGGTCCTACCAAGTGACTGTCCATGGTACGTCAGGGTGGAAGTGGGCAAGGTGGGCAAGGGAGGAAGCCCAGGGTGGGCACAGCACCCTCCCTCTTGGGACCTCTACCTGCCCACAGGCTTGTGCAGCCTTCACCCTGGGACTCCTGTGCATCTTAGGACACCTCCTCCAGGAAGCTGGGTCCCTCTCAACCACACTGACATAAATAACCCAAGCTTCGGCATGGTTCCTGAGAATTTCCCAGTACGGACTGTTCTAAGCCCAAACCTGAACTTGTCATTGCCACAGTTAAAATCTCCCTTCTCTGCTGCCTGCTACCCTCAAGGTAGACTGTAAAGCCTTCACCTGGGCCCACAGGGTCCTGTGTGGTCTAGCCCCATTGACACCCCCCAGGTTCACTTTACCCCGTGGCTTACTCTGGGAACCAGCTGTACTCTTTGTTCCTTAGCTCAGAACCTTTGCACACGCTGTTCCCTCTACCAGGAACACCTACCTCTCTTTCAGATTTCAGTTGAGTGTCAGGTCCCCCAGAGGCCTGCTGTAGAAATTACTCTGAAAGTCATTAGGTCAGCATCTCTGCAGAAAACAATGTTTTTGGTCTTTTTGAGATAGGGTCTCCCTGTAGCCCCAGCTGGCCTAGAACTTACTATGTAGACCAGGCTGGCCTCAGTCTCAGAGATCCACCTGCCTCTGCACCACAATGCTCAGCTCCAGAAAGCTTTTTAGGACTCTATCTCTGTGCCCAAAAACACCTGCTGAGTGTATGAATGTGACTTTACCACACCCACTGCCTTGACCTCTGCCCCATTATAACTCATGTCTCCTCGTGTCCTGGTCTCCTTTTATAACGGTCCTGTCCCCCTGACCCCTCGGCCGCATGTCCCCTGTGTGCTATGGCAAAGCCTTATCTTGGGTTTTAGTGCCTCCCACCATTGCGGATGACCAGACGGACTTCACAGTGACCAGGATGGCACCCGTGGTCCTCACCTGCCACAGTACAGGTGTGCCGACCCCGACTGTGTCCTGGAGCAGGGCGGGCACCCAGCTGGGAGCAAGGGGAAGTGGTCATCGAGTCTTGCCATCGGGTAAGTAAGTGAACGGCACGATGCAGTGAGGGGAAACTGGGAGGCTGGGCAGAGGGGGCTGCGAGAGCCCCTGGAGCAAAATGAGAGGGAAGATTCTCCCACCTTGCTGTGTGATCTGGGAGAAGGCCCTTGCCTTCTCTGAGCCTCAGTACCACTTCCTGTGCCCTGAGGCTCATGGTGACTCAGTTTTCTTGTAGATGGAGAAAAATACCAGCGCCTGGAAGAGTTGATAAGACAGCTCCATCCTGAGGAGCTTGGTCTTTATTCTGAAGTTGCACTCAGCCTTTTGCTGTTTGACAGTTCCTTTCTTTCTTTGATGAAATTTAGGTTATTGGGGTAGTTCTTTTAAAAAAATATTTTATTCACCGGGCGTGGTGGCACACACCTTTAATCCCAGCACTCGGGAGGCAGAGAGGCAGGCAGATCTCTGTGAGTTCAAGGCCAGCCTGGTCTACATAGTGAGTTCCAGGACAGCTGGGGCTACAGGGAGACCCTGTCTCAAAAAGACCCAAAAATTTTTTTTATTTATTATTTTTGTTTTATGTATATGAGTATACTACTTGCATGTGTATGAATGCACCTATGGCATGCAATGCCCACGGAGGTCAGAAGAGGGCATCAGATTCCCCTGGAACTGGAGTTTAAGATGGTTCTCAGTTGCCATGTGGGTGCTGGGAACCCAACCCAGGTCCTCTATAAGAACAACCGTGCTTCTAACCGTCTCTCCAGCCCCAGTCTTGCTTTGTTTTGTTTTTAAGGCAGGGTCTTCCTATGTAGCCCCAGCTGGCCTGGAACTCACTGCATAGACCAAGTTGGCCTCAAACTCACAAAGACCCACCTGCCTCTGCCTCCCAAGTGCTGGGATTAAAGGTGTGCGCTACCACGCCCAACAAAAGTAGTGATTTTTTAAAAGGCTTTTTATTTATTTATTATTTATTTTTATGTATGTGCTGTGTCTGTGTGAGTGTGAGTATATACTATTTGTGTGTAGGTGTCTGGGAGGTCAAAAGAGGCATCAGATCCCCTGGAGCTGGAGTTACAAGCAATTGTGAGCTGCTGGGTGTGGGTGCTGGGAACTGCACTTGGTTCCTCTGGAAGAGCAGCAAGCACTGTTAACCTCTGAGCCACGTCTCCAGCTCCAAAATGATTTTTTTAAAGATTTAGGTCAGACATGATGATGGCACATGCCTTTAATCCCAACACTCAGGAGGCAGAGGCAGGTGATATCTGTGAGATCGAGAGCAACTTGGTCTACATAGCAAATTCCAGACCAGCTGGGACTACAGGGAGACCCTGTCTCAAAAAACAAAAATTAAAAAAAATATTTATTTATGTATATTAGTGTTTTGCTGGGTATTGGATCCCCTGGAACTGGAGTTATAGACCATTGTAAGTTATCATGTGAGTGCTGGGGACTGAACCCGAGTCTTCTGCAAAAGCGGCAGATGTTCTTAATTGTTGAGCCATCTCTCCAGGCCCGGTACTGATTTTTAAAATGCTTTGGCTGAATTGGGAATATGGCTCAGTTGATAGCACACTTGCCTGGAATGCTCAAGGCCCTGAGTTCTATCCCCAGCACCAGTTAAATCCCTGTAATCCCAATACATGGGAAGTGGAAGCAGGAGGATCCCAAGTTCAAGGTCATCCTAGTCTGTATAACAAGTTCAAGGCCAAGCTGGGCTATGGTGCAAATAAGTGAATTTGCATATCAAAATGATTGTGGAAATTCCCCATCTTGAATGTCCTAATTAGTTAGGGAACTCCCCATCTCTACATCATTAGCCAGCTCTGCTTTTCAGACCTTCTGGAAGCAATGGAACATTTTCTTCCAACCCCTTGTTACATGAAGGACCAACTTGTGTGACACAATCCACAGATCCTGGCCAACCTGAGTCTGTGCGATGTTCCAGAGGCCAGTGGTTCCACTCCCCTCCCCAACCCAGCAGGCATCACTCTGGAAACCATTTTGCTTGACTTAGGCTGCAGGCTGAAGAAAGTTGAAATGGGGCCCGCTGATGCCAAAAGCTGTGGAGGGAGGGGTTGGATCACAGATGGGCAGAAATCCTGGGAGGCTTCCTGGATGAGGTGAACTGGGAGCAGGGCACTGTGCAGGGGTTCCTGGCAGGGTATGGCCAACCTTGGAACTCCACATACAGAAGGCTTGGCAGACCATTTTGTCTGATTCTCATTGTGCACATGGGGAAACTGAGGCCCACAGAGTAGAAAGGCTGTCTCACAGTAATGCCTTGGATGGGGAGCACAGAAGGCTCGCAACCCATGTCCCATACCCTCTGCTCCTCACAAGGTTTAAGATGGACAAAGGAGGCGATCTGAGGGGATGTGGATGGGGCACTGACACCACCATCAGTGGGGACTCCTGTCCTGGATCCCCTCACCCTCTACTATGCCTGGATCCCACCCACAGGCGCCCTGGAGATTGAGCAGGCTCTTCCCATCCACTCCGGCCGCTACACCTGCACAGCCCGCAATTCTGCCGGCATGGCCCGTAAGCATGTGGTCCTCACAGTACAAGGTAAGGGTCCCAGCTGGACCACCTGAGGCCCTGGAGTAAGGGGAGCAGGTGGAGCTGAAGACAGAAGGACTGGGAGCCTAGAGGAGGCCTCAGCCCCAGGTGCCTCCAGTCTACCTGGGCTTAATCCCTAGCTTGGAATCTCTGAGAGAGAATTGGCTCCCTGCAGCCTTGTCGCTAGTCTGAGGTTTTGGAAACCCCTCTCTCCAGTGCTTCAAGGCATCCTAGTTGGAGGGACTGGTACTGGAGGGGTCTCTAAGGATCCCTATCCCCTATGCCCTCAGCCTCTCCTGTGGTGAAGCCGCTGCCCAGCACGGTTCAAGCTGTGGCATCAGAGGAGCTGCTGTTGCCCTGCGAGGCTTCTGGCGTCCCTCAGCCAACTGTCACCTGGCGGAAGGAGGGCCTCAGCATCCCTACAGGTGAGACCGCAGAGTGGCCAGTCGGAAGGGGATGGAAGATGTCCTTACAAAATCCTGGGGTCCTCCTTCCTGCCCAGGAGACCCCTATACCTGGGAGAGATCCCACAAGCCCTGCCTGGCCCAGAGGCACATCCCTACCCTCCACCCTGACGTCGCCCTCCTGCCCTCCTTTCTGAGATCCTACCTGGACACCCAGTGGTCAAGTGGGAGGTCCAGGAGCCTGTCCTGTTTCTCCTGGTCACTCTGCAACCTCAGCAACTCAGCCACTTTATCTCAAGCCCCACCCTGTCCCTCCAGGGGTCCCCCTGCCCCAGCCGTTGGCCCCAATTTTAACTCTTTCTTATCCAGGAGCACGTACTCAGGTCCTCCCCAGTGGTCAGCTGTGGATCACTCACACCAACCCTGAAGACGCTGGGAACTACTTCTGCATCGCCCAGAACAGAGTGGGCAGCGCTATGGCAAAGACCAGGCTGGTGGTACAAGGTGGGCTCAGGTGGGGCCACGGGGGATATGATGGCCCAGGGCTTTGAGGCTTGCGTGAGCTTCTCTCTTCACAGTCCACTCCAGCCCAAATGTCCACCCCTGCCTCTTCCCTACACAACACTGCAGATGTTTCTAGAAGGAACTAGGGAATCATCTCCCTCCTCTTGTTTACAGTCTGGCTCCACTCTTCCAAGAGTGGCTTCTCTGGCCACTCTTGGGACACCAGCCTGGCCTTTCTTTCATCATGACTTGTCAACAGTAGCCATTCCCACTGCCCAGACATGCAGTTCCAAGTGCCACTTCCTTCGCTTGTGGCTTGTTGTCTGCCAGATGTCTGCTCAGGGTGCTGAGAGTGTCCAGTGGGGCTCGGGGTGCTCTGACTTCATGGCTCTGATAGGGTGTCCGGGTGGCCATGGATCTGCAGGACTGGGCCTGGGCTTTGCAGTGAACCCAGAGTGGCTCCTCGCTCCGTGCCTCTCCCTGAACTCACTTGTCCTTCCCTGTGGTTTGAGTATGGGTGCTGGTCTCCAGATGTGATTCTTTTTTAAAAAAAAATATTTTATTATTTTTATTTGATGTGTATGAGTGTAGTGCCTGCATGTCTGTAAGTGCACCTGTGTCCTACAATGCCAGTGGAGGTCAGAAGAGGGCGTTGGATCCCCTGGACCTGGACGGTTGTTAGCTACCATGTGGGTGCTGGGAATCAAACCTGGGTCCTCTGCAAGAGCTGCCAGTACTCTTAACCGCTGAACCATCTCTCCAGCCCCTCTTCCCCGTGATCATCTGGTCCCAGATGATCCTCTTCCCACATACCCTAGGAATCACCAAGGCCATGGCTCTCTCATGACCTGCCCAATCTTGCCTTGTTCCGTGATGCCCCTTTACACACCAGTGTTCACACTGGTGTTTTCCGCTTGTGACTGTTGATGTAACTGTCAGGAACGCATCTGATTCTAAATGCATCTGCCTGTGGCCTTCATCTGTCCCCAGCACAGTTCTCAGAGGAGGAAGGCATACAGGCTTCTCTGCCCAAAGTCCCTGAGACTTCTGCACACAGGAATCTGCCCTCCCCATCACAGAGCTTGAAGTCATTGTGTGTGTCTGCATGTGTGTGTGCATACATACCTAGGCACACAGACACAGTAGGTCACCCTCAGACGATGTCATCAAACACAGAATCCAGCTCATTCTGACCACAATGAATGACCTATGGCTAGGCAGTTGGTGGGGACAGTTGATAGGGGACTGAGGGGTCGGCAAGGTCCTGGCACAGGGCAGCCCACCCCACCACAGCTCAACCTAGTTCCAAATAGGCCTCCATCTCCTCATAGTGCCACCTGTGATTGAGAATGGCCTCCCAGACCTGTCTATCACCGAGGGCTCCCACGCCCTCCTGCCCTGCAAAGCCAAGGGCAGCCCCGAGCCCGCCATCACCTGGGAGAAGGACGGCCAGCCTGTGTCCGGAACTGAGGGCAAGTTCACCCTGCAGCCTTCTGGAGAGTTGCTGGTGAAGAACTCTGAGGTGAGGCCTAGTCAAGGAGCAGAGGAAAATGGTGAGACAGACCCCAGGTTTGGCAGATACCTGCTGAGCACCCCTGTCTGCCAGGCTTGGCCCTGAGCCCTGCAGGGCCCTGGGGAGGGCAGCTGCCATCCCACCCGCAGTTGACAATCCAAGGCTCAGGACAACACTTTAATGTCCCAAGTTAGCCTCTGTCAGCAGTCAGAATCCAGGTTTGAACCTGAACCTCCATGGCCACCTCCCAGGGACACATGGTGACAACCTTGTGTCCCCAAAGTACAGTTAACCATTTTCAAACAACCTTGACATCGAATGTCTTCGAAGGTCCCGAGGAGGTGTCGAGCCAGGGCTGTGGGTGTTGGAGCCCTTGCCTCTCAGCATTCAGAGTTCTGTTATTACCAAAGGAGGGATCCTCCTGGCCACACAGCTGTGTGGTGACATGCACCTGCAAGGGTCATGAGGGCCTCAGACTCTGTCCCACCAGCCCTCTCCCCTCAGAGCCTCCTTGGGGTTTCTCTGTGAAGGGTCTGAAGGTAGGAGCCACCTCTGAGATGATTCGAATGTTGGTGGACTGGTACAGGCCAGTTCTGAGTACAGTTTCCAGTACACAGAAGACGCTCAGGACACAGGGCTGGGTCCCATGGTTCCAATCTTGTGATCAGAGCTTGATGATGAGCAAGGATACTCCAGCCTAGCTAAGGGAGGCTGGATTGTTGGCCGGCTGTGGGACCTGGGAAAAGTCACTCACTTCTCTGGTTTAGAAGCTCCTCTGTGGACAGCAGGTCCCTGGAGGCATTCTGGTTCAGGCCAGCGGCAGGGGCAATGGCCATGCTGATGCCTTCTGCCCACAGAGCCAGGACGCTGGTACCTACACCTGTACCGCAGAGAATGCTGTGGGCCGAGCCCGCCGCCGCGTGCACCTCACCATCCTGACGCTGCCTGTCCTCACCACCCTGCCTGGGGACCGCAGCCTGCGCCTTGGGGATAGGCTATGGCTTCGCTGTGCAGCTCGGGGCAGCCCAACACCCCGCATTGGCTGGACTATCAATGACCAGCTCGTCACAGGTCTGGGTCCCCTGGAGGTTGGAGGTGTTAAGGGCCCTGGGTGGTAGAGGAGGAGGAGGAAGGCAGGTTGGGAGAGACCGGACTATGCAGGGAACCAAGGAGACCCTTCCTGTGACACGTGACAAACCATGTTGCTGGCAAGAAGCTGCTGTGTAGCAGGCACAGGCCCAGAAACTTCAGGTCAGGAGGGGAGGCCCGTCTTCCTGCCCTGAGCCGCTGCTCCCACGGAGGGTGACTCTGTCCTTCCATCCGTGACCCAGGTGACATTGAGGGAAGGCACAGTACACAGTAGGTGATCAATAAATGCCTGCTGCATTGATAAATAGCGCATTCCCTCCACTGCCTACTGTAGAATGTGTTAAACACCTTGGGACGCCTGCAGCCAAGGCCCCGCTGGACCCTGCCCCTTGCAGGGGAGCTGAGGCGGATGTCTCAGTGGCTTTGTGGGTGACATGGAGGAATGCAGGGGCTCCAAGGACAGGATGACAACCCAGAAGTTGCACTTGGCAACTCAAATAAATGCCCCCTCGATGGCAATGCCTGTCCCATTCCTGTCCTAGAGAAACAGCATCTGCAGATGATGCCTACCTGCAGGGCTGAGGATATGGCTTAGTAGGTAAAGTGCTTGCTGTGCAAGCACGAGGACCTGAGTTCAAATCCCCAGCACCCATGTGAAAAACTGGAGATGATAGTGTGTGCCTATAAGCCTGACACTGGGAAAGAAGAGACAGACTTATCCCCAGACCTCGATGGCCAATCAGCGAGCTCCAAGTTCAGTGAGAGACACCACTTCAAAATGGAAGGTGAAAGCTGGGTGTGGTGGCCCACACCTTTAATCCCAGCACTCAAGAGGCAGAGGCAGGCAGATCTCTGTGAGATCAGGGTCAGCCTAGTCTACATAGCAAGTTACAGGCCAGCTGGGGCCATGAGGAGACTCTGTCTCAAAAAACAAACAAAAATAAGGTGGAGTGATTGAGGAAGTACTCACACACAAAAGCACACACACCTCGCCTTTAATCCCAGCACTCGGGAGGCGGATCTCTGAGTTCAAGGCCAGCCTGGTCTACATAGTGAGTTCCAGGACAGCTGGGGCCAGAGGGAGTTCCTGTCTCAAAAAGACCAAAAACAAACAAACAAACAAACAAAAAACCCAACCCCCCACCCAAAAAACAACCAAAAACAAATGCACGCGCGCGCACATGCACGCGCGCGCACACACACACACACACACACACACACACACACACATACACATGCATTTAAAAAGAACAAACCAGGGGCTGGAAGGATGGCTTAGTGGTTAAGAATACTTCCTAATCTTCCAAAGGACCCAAGTTCAAATCCCAGTACCTACATCCGTTGGTCACTCTGCGGGAATGTGCGCGTGCACACACACACACACACACACACACACACACACGAGTGAACCATCTTTATAGGACTCACAGCAATGTTTCTGTGAGTTCTTTTCATTTTGTCCATTTTGGTTTTTTGAGAAGAGGTTTTATGTAGACCAGGCTGGCCTTGAACTCCTGAACCTCCCCGCCTTCCCTCCCAAGTACAGAAATTACAGGCCTATACCTACTTGTCTGACTCCTTATGTTAATAGATTCCCAAAGACCTACCCGTGACCCTCACCAAGCTCACAGAATAGGCATGTTCTCTGGCCACGTCCTCTGTGGCTTGTGGCCCCCACTAAAAGACCTGACTTGGTCAGCCTGCCACCTATGAAGAAGGGACCATCCCATCCCTGTGAAGCACCTGCCAGAGACACAGGCCACAGTGGAGTGCCCAAGGAAGGGGCCCCTATTTCTCAACTAAGAGTCCTGGACATCTCTTTCTCTGCCACAGAGGGTGTGTCTGAACAGGATGGGGGCAGCACACTGCAGCGGGCAGCTGTCGCCAGAGAGGACGGAGGGACCTACGTGTGCTGGGCTGAAAACAGAGTGGGCCGTGTGCAGGCTGTCAGTTTCGTCCATGTGAAGGGTAGGGCAGGAGTCCATGGGACCTTTCTCCCCAGACCTTTTCATAACCTGTCTATTGCTTGTCCAAGAAACCAGCCATTGCCCTGTACATTTTGGGACCCCTAGGGGACTTCATAAACTGCTACAGCCCAGGTTCCGCTGTGGACTCCCTAAATGCATCCCTCTGGGGTGGGGCCTAGGAAAGTGTATGTTTTACACTCCCCTAATAATCCCACCTGAAGCTGGACAGTATCAAGGAAGAGGGAAGTCATGGGGGGCAAGGTACCCTGGCAAAGAAGTGCCCAGTGTTTCCAGCCCCCCACCTGTCCCCTTCGGCATGGGTGGCAACCCTCAGAGATACTGCGGCTTTTGTTCAGCTTTGGGATGAGTAGGGCTTGATGGAGGCAAAAAGCATCCCAGAGAACCAGGACACAGCTGCAACTTTGGGTAGATTCAACCTTGGGACCCCAGGAAGCTTGGAAACTGGTACTGGGTAACAAGAAGTTGAGTCAGGAGAGTCACGTGAACCTCTTAATGTTGCTATGTCCAGTAGCTGTCCCAGCATCCCTGTTTACTATAGTTCTTTCCAAAGTGCCTGACAGGTGATCTGCAGCTGGTATAATCTATCTGTGAGAACCAGTACTGCTGACACACATACCACCACATTCCTTCCTGTGTCTGTCTCAGACATCACTAATCAATCACAGCACAATTCCCATTCAGCTACAAATCCTGCACAGTTTCTGATAGGCACTGCCAGTCTATGGATATGACCCATGACACAGAAGCTGTTTGCCCTCCCCTCCCCCAGCGCATCGACTATGCAGAGCCATACTAGGCCACCAAAGCTTTTGTAGGCCCCAGGAATTGGGGGACTGGGCAGTGTTTAGGGATGGGTAGATAGAAGGTTGAGCTTCAGGGGAGCCTCCCTCCTGGTCCCTCCTTTGATGTGTCCCACAGAGGCTCCAGTCCTGCAAGGGGAGGCCTTCTCTTACCTGGTGGAACCTGTAGGGGGCAGCATCCGGCTAGACTGTGTAGTCCGTGGAGACCCAGCACCAGACATCCACTGGACCAAAGACGGCCTTCCGCTGCCAATCAGCCGCCTCCACCTCCGGCTGCAGAACGGCTCACTGACCATCCTCAGGACCGAGGCAAGGCGGTCTTTGCTTTTTCTGACTGTTTAGGGGATCTTTAAGTCGGCACCGCCCTCCACAGTCTATAAAGCGCTTCCTGCCTACTCCTCAGGTTTCTTCCCACCCCCACTGCCTTGGCCTCATCCCACCCACTGAACAGGGCTGATTGTTATTTCTGCCTCGTAGGTTAATAGTGGGGAATCATCAATAGAGGGAACCTGTGCCTGGTATTTAAGAGTGGCTTGTGGGAAAATCCCCCTTGTTACTATCATTAATACCGTCAGGATAGTTAGGTCACCATGGCACCACCACTGTATGAATGAAGACACTGACGGTCAGAGGGGATCCATGATGCATGTGGGAAGCCAGACCCTGCCCCTCTCTCCTGACTCCTGCTCCCTGGGGTTCCCAAAGGCCTGGGCAGGAGAAGGGGGGCAGCGTCCCCCCTTTATCTTCAACCCAAGTTCCAATAATTAATGATGCCAAAATTCACAGGTCAGTCCCAACACCAGATCATTGTAGGCTTTGGACCTGCCCACTGGGGAGCTGTGTGTGGACAGTGATAAAACAAACCTAGTAACCACAGTAGCTGTAGAAATGGCCACTGATGCCAGGTCCTGGCTGCAGGCAGCCACCCCCCTCTCCCAGCGCCAGGGTCATGAGGTTTAACACACACAGCTGTCCTCTTGATGCTTACAATGATCCTATTTCTCAATCTTAGAGACTGAGAAACTGAGGCTCCAGAGACAGGGTAACATCATGGAGTGAGGCTCTATCCCATGTAGACCTGGCCTCCCCATCTCCACCCTCAGCTCTGGTCATGCAGACCCCTGGGAGCCACCTACTAGACAGCTATAGTCTCCACAACACGCTGTCCTGGCTCCATCCCCTGACAGGTCCATGTGACATCAGACATGCTGGCACAGGCCTGTAATCCCAGGACTGGGGAAGCTGAGATAGGAGGAATTCAGTGTCCAGGGCAGCCTCAGCAACATAATGAATTTGAGGCTAGCCTGGATTATGTACTCAAACTCTGACTCAAAAAAAGAGGGGGGGGGGGGCTACAAGATGGCTTAGTGGGTAAGGGAGTCTGCTACCAAGCCTGAGGACCTGAGTTTGATCCCTAGGTCCCACACAGAGAGAGCCAGCTCCTGCAAATTGTCCTCTGACCTCTACATGTGCACTATGGCTTGTACACACACAAAATAAATAATTAAAATAAAATTTTAAAAGGATTTCTTTTTTAAAAAAACAAAGAATGTGAGGCAGTCTCCCTGTGTCCCATCACAGACCTGGGGTCATGGACATGACACCCTTGACCACTGGAGCTACTAGCAGTGCTCGGACCCTGTGCCCTCTGGATGACGCAGGCTGCCCCCTAGCGTGATATACACCCCAAGATGTCCTCCAGCTCTGAATGCACTAGCGAGGGCACTGAGGAGATGGCTCAATCAGTAAAGTGCTTGTCAGCAAACACAAAGATCTGAGTTTGAGCCCCAGGATCCACATTGAAAAAGCTGGACCTGGCAGCGTGCATAATCCCAGCCCTGGGGAAGTATAGAGAGGTTAGAAAGGATCCTGGAGACTTGCTGGCCAACCTAGCTTAATTACTGCATTCCAGACAAGCAAGAGAGAGAGAGAGAGAGACAGAGACAGAGACAGAGACAGAGACAGAGAGAGAGAGAGGCCTTGTCTAGAAAAACAGGGTGGATAGGAACTGAGTAACAAAGTTGATCTCTGGCCTACACACACACACACACACACACACAAACCTACACACACACACACACAGACACACACACACACAAACCTACACAGACACACAGACACACAGACACACAGACACACACACAAACCTACACACACACACACAAACCTACACACATACACACACACATACACACACACCACACACACACACAAACCTACACACACACAGACACACAGACACACAGACACACACACAAACCTACACACACACACACAAACCCACACACATACACACACATACACACACACACCACACACACACACACACACACAAACCTACACACACAGAGACACACAGACACACACACACAAACCTACACATATACACACACATAGACACACACACACCACACACACACACACCACACACACACACACCACACACACACCACACACACACACACACACGTTCTAGACTTGGGGCCAATAAGATGGCTCAGTGGGTAAAGGTACTTTCCACCAAGCCTGACAGTTCTATCCCTAGGACTCACAATAGGAAAGAATACTTCCTGCAAATTGTCCTAGGACCTCCACATGTACACGTCATACCCCCAACAATAAATAAATGAGTATTAAAAATAAATTGAATTTTAGAAATGTGCTAGGCAGGATCTCCCAGACGTCTCCCAGGGAACCCCAAATCTTGACTAAGTTAAGGTGCAGCTGTAGCAGTTTGATGGCAGTGTTTGGAAGATGTGCATCCGAATCGTGCTTTGCAAGACTCCTGCCTTCCTGTCCACTTCATACTCTTTCCTGGCTAGATAAGGCTTGGTATAGTCACCCCTCTGCTCAGCAGTCCCCTGCCCCCCTGGTCTTCTCCTGAACACCTGCACTCTCTCATGCCACCTGCAGATGGATGACGCGGGACAGTACCAGTGCCTGGCCAGGAACGAGATGGGCGCCGTGAAGAAAGTGGTGGTGCTGGTCCTTCAGAGTGAGTCTTGGCCTCTGTCCCCGGCAGCAGGGGGTGCAGGTGACATGGGCACTCAAGACCGGCTGTGACTGGGTGCGATCATTTGTGCAGAAGTCATGACTGAAGTCCTATGAAGCATTTCTCAAATGCAGAGTGCAATCCACAGTCAGGCTAAGGAGTTATTAGAGGCCGGGCGTGGTGACACACACCCTGAGTCCCAGAACTCAGGAGGAAGAGGCAGGCAGATCTCTACGAGTCCAAGGCCAGCCTGGTCTACATAGTGAGTTTCAGGCCAGCCAGGATTACATAGTGAGACCCTGTCTCAACAAAACACCAAGAAAAAAGTTATAGTTATGAAAGACTCAAAGTACCGTTGAGGTCAAAGTGACAGCTTTTGCATTTGCCAAGTGGTTCAAAGATTGCGTAATGCTGTCTGAGCCTCAGAAAACTGGCCAACGAGTCTCAGCAAGGATTCTGTAGAAAATATTGTGCATGTCTGTGATATATATGTGGGAGGTGGGTCCACCCGTCCATTCCTAAGTATGTGGGGGTCAGAAGCTGATATTGAATATCTTCTATAAATCTTATTTTTTTTAATTAATTTATTTATAGACAGGGTCTCACTATGTTACCTTGGCTGATCTGGAACTCAGGCTGTGCAGCCCAAGCTGGCCTTGAACTCACAAATATCTGCCTGCTTCTGCCTGCCTAGTGCTGGGACTAAGTGTGTGCCCATGCCCAGCTCCACCTTGGTTTTGGAGACAGGGTCTCTCCCTGAACCTGGAGCTCCCCAGTTTGACTAAATTGGCCAGTGAACCCCTAGACCCTCCTGTTTCTGGGTCCTCAGCACTGCGGTTACAGTCTTGTGTTGCCACACCCAGCTTTTATGTGGATGCTGAGGACTGAACTCAGGTCTTCATGTTTGCACAGTAAGCACTTTACCCGCTAAGCCATCTCCTCAGTCCTACAGAAAATACTGTAGTGAAAGTGAGCACAGGTATAGATGTCCAGCACAACGAAATGTCATAATGGGAACCCAACCAGCAGTATCAGCTCCTGGGTGCTCCCCACATGGCCCTCCTAGTCTGTGCTCCTCACCCCAGTAATCACTGCCCTAAATTTTGCCTGTTTTTTCAAGATTGTGTGTGTGTGTGTGTGTATGTACATGGGCATGCAGTGCCCTCAGAGGCAGAAGAGTCTGATCCTCCTAGAACCAGAGCCACAGGCAGTTGTGAACCACCCAATGTGGGTGCTGGGAACTGAATGCAGGTCCTCTACAAGAACAGCCAGTGCTTTTAACTATTTAGCCATCATTCCAGTCCCAGCCTGTTTTTTTTTTTTTTCCGGTCTTTTTGAGACAGTATCTCCCTGTAGCCCCAGCTGTCCTGGAACTCACTGTGTAGACCAGGCTGGCCTTGAACTCACAGAGATCTGCCTGCCTTTGCCTCCTGAGTGCTGGGATTAAAGGCGTGTGCCACCACGCCTGGCCCTGTTTCTATTAACAAAAAGAACCACAGTTCTATTAAGGTATAATTCATATAGCTCAGAGTGGTAAAATAAACCTGTAATCCTAGCACTTGGGAGGCTGAGGCAGGAGGATTACTGAGAGTTCATGGGCAACCTGGGCTACATAGTGAGTTCTAGGCCAACCATGGCTACAGGGTGAGACTGCCTAAAAAATACTAATAATTTTTAAAGCGTGTAGCAGAGCTGTTGTTAGTAAAGTGATAGAGTTGTACAAACACTGCCACAAACCATTCTTAACAAATTTCCATCACTCCAGAAACTTCTATGACCCCTCTACAGCCAATCCTGCTCCTACCTCAGCCCCAGACCAACCAGTGACCTGCTTTCTGACTTTAGCTGTTCCTCTTCTGGAGATATGAATGGGATCCCGTTCAATCTTCGTTTTGGCTTCTTTGAGTTATGTGTTTTTGAGTCATCTGTGTTCTAGCATCTGCCAATAACTCATTCCTCTTTATAGCTGTATGGTATTCCACTCTAAGGGTAGAAGATGCTTTGTTTACCCACTTACCAGTTGCTGGCTATTGAATATTTCTAATTTGGGGGCACTGTGAGCATTGTGTTGCATGTGAGGGTTTCGGTCGTGTGTCCCCTGGGGTAGATTCTCTGACTGACAAAGTGAGTGTGCCTCTCTTATTACAGCTGTTTTTCTCTTCTTGAAGCATGCCCCAATTCACAAAGCCCCTCCCCAAGTTTGGAAAAGCAGCACAACAGGGCTGTGGGTAAACGTGCGTGGCTGCCAAGCCTGACCTGACCCCCTGAGGTCCATCCCTGGGACCCACACGGTAGAAGGAGAGCCTGACCTGACCACTTGGGGTTCATCCCTGGGACCCACACGGTAGAAGGAGAGCCTGACCTGACCACCTGGGGTCCATCCCTGGGACCCACACGGTAGAAGGAGAGCCTGACCTGACCCCCTGAGGTCCATCCCTGGGACCCACACGGTAGAAGGAGAGAACTGACACCCACAAGTCAGTTCTCTGACCTCTACACATGCTCTGTAGCAGGATGTGCACACAGACACAGACACAGACACACACACAGACACACACACACACACACACACACACACACACACACACACACACACTACAGTATCTGGGTTTTTACGTGGGTTCTGGGATCCAAACTCAGATGGTCAGGCTTGTGCAGCAAGCACTTTAACCTGCTGAACTGTCTCTTCAACCCACACCTGGATTTTGTATCTTGATCTTGTGCCTTGATAGCTTGGTTTTTAGTTCTGGTGAATTTTGGGTGGATTCCTGGGGATTTTCTGCACGTGGGATCTTGTGTGTGTGATGTATGAGCAGGGCCCACTCAGCCTCTTCCTTTCCCATATACACGCCCTCTGTAGACTTTTACTCCTGGCTCAGATCAGCCACCCAAGCATACGCCGAGGTAAAATAGTAAGTGTGACCCTCCGCCCCAGCCCGCCCGGGTCCAGTTCGAGTGGAGAACATCAGTGTCTCACGTGTGCGAGGACACTGGTGGGTTTGTGGAAGCCAGCTGTCCTGCTGAGTGATTCCCTCCTAGCCTGAGTTTGTTGGAAGTTTGTCATGGAGGGGGTGGGCCCTGGTAACAGACAAGGTGCACGCACCCCATACCTGCTAAGGACAGCCAGAAGCTCCAGCCGTCAGAAGACATTGGGAAAAATTGAAGGATGGAGAAAGGAACAGACTGTAGTGCCCAGAGCCTAAGAGTGGCTGGCATGAATTCCCTCTGACTTCCTAGGCAGAGCTGAGAAGCTAGCATGTGGGAACACAGCTGGGCTCCCACATAAAACAGTGAGAGGGGCTGGAGAGACGGCTCAGCGGTTAAGAACACTGGTTGTTCTTGCAGAAGACCCGGTTGGAATCCCAGCACCCACATGGCAGCTAATAGCTGTCTGTGACTCCAGTTCCAGGGGATCTGACAGCCTCTTCTGTCCTCCGCAGGCAATGCATGACACGGGTGCCCTTTCCTACATGCAGGCATAACACTCATACACATAAAATAAAAATAACAAAGCTGGGCATGGTGGCGCACGCCTTAAAAAAAAAAAAACAACAGTGATAGGAAACCAAACAGAAGCCCTCCAGCCAGAGGACAAAGAAAAGGATGGCAGGCCTGGCAAGATGGCCTTGTGGGTAAAGGTGCTGGCTGCCGAGACTCATGACCTGAGTTTGATCCCTGGAACCCACATGGTAGAAAGAGAGAACCAACTCCCACAAGCTGTCCTCTGACCTCCACGTGAACGTTGTGGTGCACGTACATGCACACACAATAAATAAAAATAATAAATAGATAAATAGAAATTTAATTTACAAAGAAAAGGACAAGGGCTGGAGAGATGCTCAGCAGTTAAGAGCACTTGTTGTTCTTGCAGAGGCCCAGGTTCAGTTCCCAGCACCCACATGGCAGCTCGCAGCCACCTATAAGACCAGTTCCAGGAAACCTGACACACTCTTCTGGTCCCCTCAAGCACTGTATACACATACACGCAGGCAAAACACTCATACCTGTAAAAAATATAAATAAGTAATACGAAAAAAAAGAGCAGCTATGCAAGAGGGAAAAGAGTGGCCACTTAACTCCAAGCACCACGAAAAACACTGTGCCCCGCCCTACCCAGGCATAGAGCGCAGCCCCATACCTCTACCCATGCCTCGAACTGGGTGGACCAGCTTTCCTCACGGAGGTCAGGCCTCAGAACGGGACAGAACTGCACCCCCTCATGAGGGAGCCCTCCCCCGACACCATCAGTGGGAGGCCCTGGGCTGCAGGCAATGCCAAGTCCCTCACCCCATTCTGTTGTGTGAGCCGAGGCTGAGGAGGAGCAGGCCCGGCAGCGATGGACTCGCACATCTTTGGCCGGTGGAGGAGGAAGGTTGACCTGAGGCCTGGTCTGGCACAGTGCCGTTCCTGACATTCGGTTCCAGCCTCAGTGGAAACTCCTTGGCCCAACCAAGATCCAGGGAACTGTCAACCTGGATGAGGAAGGACAGGCAGACCACACCAGAAAGTTCACACAGAGGTGTGACTCACCAGCCAAGGATCTGAAAGTCGCCATCACAGAAAATGCTTTGGCCAGAAACTGTGGTCATGATGGAAGCCACAAGAAAGAAGAAAATCTCAGCCACGTGTGGCTGGTGCAGGTTAAAGGTCAGCTGCTCCTGGCCTTCCCCAGCTTGCAGCAGAACCCATCTCCCACCTCGGTCGGGTCGGGAATGTAGGAAAGTCAGTCAGCCCAGGCCTCCTTCACGCCCTCCTTTCCGTCATTAAATTTCTGGAAAGTTCTCTGGTCTCCTCAGCCAGGCTACAGCCCTAGGCTACTGGAGATTTTGTCTGACAGTTTTCAGCCTGTGGGTATTTTATCCTCCACTGAAAGGCTCGGAGAAGGGAGGCCACTGACTCTCACAGCTGACCTGTGGGAAGGGCAGGATGGTTCTGGGTAAGAAGGCCATGACTGCCCCTGTTCCTATCCAAAGTTCTAGAAGCTTTCATGGACAGATGGGTTTTGAGGTGTTGTGTGCCTTTGGTTGGCCCTGAAACCATTTATGCCAATTCTATTGGTTTTATGCTTATTGTAAGGGAAAAGGTTGGGGATTGCTTTGCTCAGTCATAGCTAGATACAAGTCTGCTTTCTTTCTTTCTCTCTCCTTTCTTTCTTTCTTTCTTTCTTTCTTTCTTTCTTTCTTTCTTTCTTTCTTTCTTTCTTTCTTTTCTTTCTT